TCAATCCAGCCAAGCATGCGGGGATGCTGCCAGAAATGGCGGAAAGGATGTTAAACTAGGACGCTCGCCGGGTTGGAATCCGGTACGAGTCGAGCGTTCTAGGTATTGCATCTATGCATTTGTGAACAAGACATCGACAGATCCAGTTAGCAAACGACAAGATCAACGCCGTAATACATGTGATCTTCATGGGAAACGTACTGCTGTGATCTCACGTCTTCGGCAAGCCGACGACTACTCCAGATCCGATGCGACAGTGGAACTTGACCTGGATCCAGAAGCTCGTCAAGGCTATTGGAAGCAGCAGGATCCAGAGCAGTGGTTCAAACCAACGGAAGGCGAAGACACCTCGGGATCCAGGTCCCGACGTGTCGCGGCAAGCCGGCGGATCGTAGATCAAGAGTCCTCGTATTTCCTACCTGGAGAATCTCGAGCGTACTGGAAGCAACATTCGCCAGGCAAGTGGTTCCGGCAGGCCAAGATCCACGGCAAGATCAACAATGAGAAGGCTATCTTACTCCTAGATACCGGTGCCGAGGTGTCCATCGTGGACACCGCCTTTGCTCGTAAGGTTGGGTGCTACATCGACAGGAGTCAGAGCCAAGAATGCGCTGGTATCGGAGACAACGTGTATACGACGGAAGGGAGAACGCGGATCAAGATCACCTTGGGTGGATACCTGGTGTATTTCTTCGACATTTGGGTAGGAGATCTGTCTGGCCAAGAAGCGATTCTCGGTATGGACTATATGGTCCCAACCGGGATCCGACTGGATCTAGCTGATGGGACTCTCTGCCTGCCTGACGAAGTCCAGATCCAGCTCAGCGGACGCCGTTCACAAAGCGCAGTCGGTAAAGCTGGATCGCTATCTCCAGCTTGGGATCGGAGAGTCCGCAGAGTTGCCCATGCGTCTGCGAGGATCGGAACACGACAAGCTGCGGGTTACTCGAGGGGATCGTTGGGTACCAACGGTGACCAAGGGTCCAGGCAAAGTGCGGTATCTTCAGATCATGAATATCGGAGAGAAAGAACTGGCGTTGCGCCAGAACCACCAAGTTGGGGTGTGGCTGGCCGGAGATCGATTCCCGCGGATCCAAGGCTACGTGTCCGTCGGATCCCGCCGCTACATGGAGTGGCAGAACCTCGCGCTGCAGGCCATGACGGACGCTGGATCCGCGGAGGCGAAACCGCCCGAGACCCCGGAGGGACCGGTGGTGGAGCGCCCTGAGTACCCCCCGATCAGACGATCGACGGACGCAACGCCGGGACAGCGAAGATGCTGCAGTTTCAGGCCTCCACCAAGCCGCGTACACGAGATCAACTGCTGGAGAATATGAGGGAGCAAGTCCCCGGGGAAGGCCTGCAGGTCGAAGACTCACCGGATCCAAACCCAATTGCGGATCCAAGTGGCAACGACACGCTGGGACCGGACGATGGATTGATGGGCCAAGATCCAACGAACGACACGCAAGGTCGCGAGGACAAAAGGTTTCCAGTATACAGGTTCTGGGGCCCAGCATACAGCTTGTTGGTTCATAACATACGCGCATAGAAAATACTCTCTCCACATGTTCCGTGTGTAACAGCGCACAAACGAGGATGAAGCACAGCAACCAGCGCAATTCTGCCGGTCTGCCGACCGTTGTGTGCTGATCTAGGCGCTAATACCTGGTCAACTTACAGAAGACGAAAGATGGAAGCTGACCTACCGAGGGTCTCTCGGAGTATTCTAATGACGACTCAAGTTGTACGCAAGTCGAGAACCGTGATGATACTACTGACGAGGGATTAGTGTACGCAATTGTGGATCGCATGCCGGTAGGACTTGCGTATTGGTACAGGGTCCAGTGGCGAGATGAGCCTGATGGATACCGGTGGGCCGACTCATGGCTGCCCAGGAAGCGCTTGCTGGAGGACGGTTTTGAGAAAGCATGTGCGGTCGTGGACATGTGGAAAGCGTCTAAGTACGCGTCGTTTTACGTGTTTTGCCGAAGGAATGGACACGTGCACAATATCGGTGCCTCGCCGTCAGCGAATGGAAAATGTGCAGTTGTTGCTGTGGAGACTGCAGTTACGCTTCTCGGTAACTCTGGTTGGGCACCCCCCGGGTGCTTTGGTGCATTTGTGGAGTACTGCGACCAGCGGGGTCGGCCCTTGTCGCCTGACGGTCTGACTACTCGAGAGCTTCGTTTCTACATCAAATACCTGAATGATTGGTGTGGTAGTTCGAAGACAAGTCAGATCAGCATCCGCGTATTCGATGACAATTTGCTAGGAGGTGTCAACGGCAAGAACGCGTCGGAAGTATTGGTGAAATGCGCTCTAGCGGATGGAGTTTACGTGTGCGCTGCCTACAGCTCACTACGAGTGACGCACTGCTTTGCGATCAAAGTTTTGAGTGGTGATAAGCTCATTTACGATGACAACAATGTTGCGGTGGAAATTCAAGCCTATGACGCAGAGTGGATCATGGGGATTATCTTTTTGCGCCGAAGCGCGCTATACCTCCCTTAGTATTTTTGGCTGACAGCGTCTTCGTCTTAGGTATTACCTCGATTGGCTTAGCCACAATATGCATTACGGTAAGACTGAGAGATTTTTAAATGAAGCCTTGGGTTTGTTACTTACTCGTGTCGTATTACCACGCTGTTAGTCAGGTCAGACTGCAACACGCGTTCATTCTACAAAATCCTTGAACCAACCCAGAAGATCGTAGCACACCACTCAGTATGCGGGCACACAACGCAGTATGGATCTTCGCGCCAGTGGTGGGGAATCGATACGCGCGTTGGTATGCAAGCTTTCGTCAAACTCTACCTGAATTGGAGCGGCGGACGCGTGACACAACCTTCTTGTGTGGCCGTGGCGGTGATAAAATTTGGGACGCTTGGCGTGACATTGGGGCTGAGGAACGCGCACGTCTAATCCAAGCAGCACCGGATTCCAGTTTCCCCAATGCTACGTACGGCATCATGGACGAACGTAAGGCTTACCCAGGACAACGAAAGAAGACGTCTGGCACAACATCGCCCAAGACCACTACGGCCAAGAAGACTACGGCCAAGATGGCCACCGCCAAAACGACTACGGCCAAGACGACTACGGCCAAGAAGACTGTGGTCACAACGTCTACTGCCACAACGACTACGGGCAAGATGGCTACGGCCAAGACGAAGCGGCAACACGTTCAACCGACTTCCACGAACAATCCAAAACGTGTTCGATACAGCAGTCGAGTGACTGATGAGCCGTGCCAACCCAGCCTGTACAGCATGATACTCAGCTACAAACACGATTCGCAGAGATGGAGCGCGCACGTAACAACTACTACACAGTGCTGATCAAAGAGCAGGATCTCCGAATCCACGCAGCTTACAATGGCGGGAATATGGTCGGTATTATCGAAGCTGCTGTGGCCGGTGCGCAGAACGCGGTCGTCTTGACCAGAATCAAGGACAAACATAAGACAGTGGAGGACGCGTTTTCCGCCGTCCCACTTCGCCTGGACGATGTACTGGCGGTTCTAATGGGAACCGCTCAGTTCGAACCGGACCCTGAGTACGATCAACCCGATCCAAGGTTTGCTGCGGCGCGGATTAGACGCGCAAAACGACGATATAATGATACCAAAAGCGCCTTGTACAAGCTTTGTGTTGAGCTTGGAGCGGATGAACCTGGTGAGATCGTCATCGGGAATCGTACGAGCCGATTCTTTGGGAGAGTTTAAGGGCATCGAAACTTTTTGTGAGGAAGCGATTTAGGTTGTGGGTATCGTCGATTTCCGCAGCGATAAAGCAAAGAATACATGTATTCAATCACCTAGAGGGTTTGACCTAGTCAGTGTTCTCTATTCTAATAGAATGTCTTGAACTGTCAGCGCTGGTGCTGCATGAGCAGGCCTTTCAACGGGCCCTGTGGAGACCTTCAGAGCACATCAGCATTTTTGAAAAGTAGGGACAGGTGCATCGCTTGAGTGTGATGTCAACTAGCCACCCATCGGAAGGCATTCCTGTGCGATGCGAACGCCGTAGAGACCATGATGTGGCTTGCTCGAAAAGCCTTTTCCAATTCGTGACCGTGTCGTCGTCCTCCTGTCCATCTGAATCCAGTCTAGATCGTAGTATGGCTGGGATATCGCTCGCCGACGAGCTATCGGACGAATCTGATGTTGGGTTGTCTTGAGTGGATGTCAATGATAGAAACAAAGCCAATTGGCTACTCGGTCATGTTGCCGTATCGGTACGCCTGGAGGGAGCCGTATTGACTGTCTCCAGAAGAAATCCGTTTTCTTCTTCAGCTTGTTCGTCTGTGTCGGCGCGTAGAATCTCGAGGACTCGTACTTGGTTCGCATCGCTTGTCCTGGTGATAACCACTCGAGAAGCTTCAAGCATTGCTGCCGCTGCCTTCACTACATCGGATGTTGGTGTGGATGTATATTCTGCTGGCGCGGGCTTGACTGGACTCGTCGTTTCGATGAAGGTCCCGATTTTTTCGAGTAATCGACACATATGATGCTTACGGCGCTGCAGAAAAAGCTTTAGTCCTCCATTTAGGTTATCGCAGGGATTGTTGGTTAATGCGTAGCCCTCAGGATTGTGGTACAGTTGCCATTGCCAATAGCGGCCTGTTAGCCACTGCTGCTCGAAGTAGTCCGCGAATTCAACGAGATGTGTCTGCTTGCGCCAATTAGCTATTTCTCGATCTCGTGTACGCTCAAACTCCAACAAGCTTTGCGTAAAATGCACGTCGACAATCAAGTTCATCACATTTCTCCTATCATCAAAGGGCAGGTGCTGTGTGCGTTTACGTACATTGTAGATAACGTGAAAAAACACATCAGCTTCGTAGCATTTGCAAAACTGGGCACGTTCTCGAGAGCCAAGAATTGAGCATCCTCAGCATCGCTCATGGTTGCGTCGGAACGAAGTGTTGCTCCTCGAACATGCCGGACGACGTCAGCAAAACTGCGCAAGCACTCGGTGTATTCATGTTCCGTGCGCCGACTCACCACGAAAAAAGCACCAACTTGGTATGAACGCCCTCGGTCCGTGAAGCCGCAAGTTATCACTGGATAGCCCAAGTCGCTAACCTTAAACGTGGCATCCGCATGGAACTGCACAAAATCACCCGAGTGGCAGAACCGTAGGCAGCTATCGATAAGTGCGAGAGACGTCACCCCAATAATGAAAGGGATCGTCGTCCTCGCCGGACCCCACATAAACAAAGCCATCCGTGTCCAACTTAGGTCCAAACAGAAAAGCGGAATCTGACTGAAGTTCTGGATTGTAGCGGCGAGCGCGAGCCATTTCATGCGCGGCCTTGATTGAACTTTTGGTGCCCTTCGAACGCCGGTGAACTTTCAGCGCATTTTGAATCTGGGAGAGCTCTGGCCATCCGCCGTTAGATGGCTTGATATTTGCTTGCTTCTTGAGATGTGCCAGAATAATACGTGGGGCGTTCCCAATCTCTTCTTGTGCTGCGATAAATGCTTTCATCGGCTGAGTCACGACTGGCCGATGCTCCGCAGTACAGGGAAGAACACCACGGGCATGTGCCTGCTCGTTTACAGTTATCTGCCACTTGTCCTGAGCTGTGCAGTAGAACACCTTCCAGACCACGCCACATTTGCCAAACTCGCGACAAGTGCTGCTCAAGCACCGAAGACGTCTTTCTGTCATCGTATGTTCACCAGCACAAACACGGCAATTGTCAAAGTCGACCTTGTGAAATATCGCCGAGCAGCACATCGACTCGTCACGGTAGTCATCGAATTCCCCCGTGGAATTGTGCACGGCTAGCTGATGCCAGCCAGCCATGGCCGCTCCTGAACGAAAACCTTTGTCTGCAGCCGCCCGTGTGGTAACTTGGCCAGCACAATTAAGCTGATATTTATATGCCTCACAGTGGTTAGCGGTTATATTGGTGCCCCACAAATATAGTCTCTCCCTGTTGTCACTCCAACTGTATGGTGCAAACCCATATTTATATTCACGCCCCATGTACGTATATTTGTGCCTACAAATCTGTATATTTTGACACCATCGTCGGTCGCGAGGGGGCGCTGGGTCCAGATGATGTGGGACAGGCGGTCCAGTCCGTTGTCACATCGGGTGGTAATCACGGAGGGACAGGGGGCGGATCTGCAGATTCGACAGATGGTGCTACGGGACAGGTCATGGATCCAGTGGTGCTTCAAGTTTCGCATGATGAGATGGAACAATGTGCAGATCCAGATGGAGAGACGGTGCAGGAATCAGGTCCGACGCCAGATCCAACTGTCGATGCAGATCCAACGACTACCATAGAACCAAGTCGCAGTGACGCTGATGCAGATGAGCAAGTCTGCTACCACGTGAGTGGGGATCTGCACGCGGAAGATGTTGAAGCGGAGATGGCGGTGCTACCGGAAGTCACTGCGACCACAGACGAGGTGACTATTGAAGACATCCAGGTGGGAGATCCAGAGGTTAATACGGCGGAAGAGATCGATTGACTTCGACGGCGGATCTGGAGGCGCCGGCACCTGTTGATTGGCAAAGGCAACGCGCTGCCACCCGCGGCAGGAGGAGTTGTGTGTGACATTGATGTGGGTGATGCAAAACTTATTGCTCAGCGGGTGCGCAAGGTAGCCCCGCAGTACCATGAGAAGCTGTCGGATCTGATCAAGGGGTTGCTCAGAGCCAAGATCATCAAGGATTCGACTTCACCGAGGGCATCTCCAATTGTGGTGATCATCAAGAAGAATGGGGTATACATACGATTATGTATTGATTACCGGCTGGTTAACAGTCTGACCCGGCTGATGGTCTACCCGATGCCCCTGACCAACGACCTGCTTGAGGATCTGGACAAGGTGCTTTGGTACTGCTCTTTGGATATGGCCAGTGGATTCTGGGTGGTGACGATGACGGCTCGGGCTCGTGCGATCTCCGCCTTCATCACCCCCTTCGGGCTGTACGAGTGGAACCGAATGCCCTTTGGATTGAAGAATGCACCCCAGATCTATCAACGTATGCTGGACAACGCGCTGTATGGATTCACTCTGATCCCGCGGCCAGAAGATGGATCTGGATCGGAGCGCGAACATGAATTCAAGCGTAGATCTGTATCGGAGGTGCTGGATCTGGATCTGAAGTTGGGAGAACCTGAACGTTCAGGCAAACCATCCGTGCTTGGACGACGGTCGTACATTGACGACATTTTGGTAACTGGTGGATCCTGGGACCATCTGTGTGAGCGTGTGGACGCGCTACTGGACGCGTGCGATAAGTGGAATCTCTCAATCAGCGTGGTGAAGAGCTTCTGGGGCAAGAGTAAGGTGGAGTACCTCGGTCATCGCGTGTCAAATGCTGGACTAGAGGCGAATCCCAAGGATCTCTCGGCACTAACGGATCTACCCTTTCCAGACACCCCTAGATCCATGCAGTCATTCCTGGGTAGTTTGAATTACTACAGTCGGTTTCTGGAGGACTACGCGATCTACGCTGCGGTTCTCTACGAATTACGTGAAGTGGACTACGCCGCGATAAGCAAGCCTGAGAATCGAGGCCGGATCCAAGCGGTGATGGCTTCGACGGCTCCAGATCCAACGGGGCAGACCTCGTTTTGGTAGTTTGCCAAGTCCCAGGCGAGATCGACTGCAAGGCACCGGGATTAACCCTTCCGAGACAGAAGGCCCTGGATAGGCTGCGGATCTGGCCAGATCATGAGCTGGTACATGTCAAGCGCGACTGGAACGGTAGCGCTGATAGCCTAGCCAGCGCAGCACTTCAGCGGCAGGCCGGTATCATGGTGGAGGATGCGGTGGATCTGCAGGATGTAGTCACGCTGAATCGACTGGAGGAGATCCTGGTTGTGAAGAGTGAGGAAGATGCTCCCGTCGCTCGTGTATCACCTGTGATAAACGGATCCGCCAGATCCAGATCCAGCCCGACTGTGTTACGGGAGGAAGCAGTGCGGGACCTCAGGATCGCTAGGATTCGCCAAGCGCAGGACGAGGAGGCGTGGATCTCCGGTCTGAAGAAGTACTTAGCAGGCGATATGCAGGATCTGACCCAAGATGAGGCTAGATCCTATAGTGCTGTCACGATGGATTACAAAGTGGAGATCAACGACTTGCTGTTCTAGTCCTCCTGCGAAGAAGGCGGAGGCGGATCGCGATGGATTGATGAGGCTGGTGCTGCCGGAGACTCTACAACAGGATGTTCTCCACCATTACCATGTCAGTCTCGAAGGAGGTCACCAAGGGATCGGCCGCACCTACCAGCGGGTCCGGGATCGCTTCCATTGGAGAGGATTATATCGGAGTGTACAGCGATACATCGGAGAATGCGTGGATTGTGAAACCGGCAAAGGGCGACCTGCGATCCAAGGTGAGTCGCCCGGTAACATCCAAGCCACGTACCCGTTTCAGATTATAGCGATGGATCACATACCGTCGCTGCCCAGATCCAACAAAGGTAATACCGAGTTACTGATCTGGGTGGATCTGCTCACTGGGTACGTGATCGCGAAGGCCAGCGACTCCAGGACGGCGCAGACGATCGCGGAATCCTACGAAGAGTGTGTATTCAGACGATTTGGTGCCAGCGACGTGATTCGCCACGACCGCGAGCCGGGGTTCATGGCCGACTTCTTTAGATCCTTCAACAAGATCCTTGGTCAGCGACAACGTGCGACGATGGCGTACAGGCCGCAAGCAAACGGAACCGCTGAGCGCATGGTGCCACCCGCGCTCTGAAGATGTACGTGCAGGATCTGGATCAGCGCGATTGGGACGACTACGCTGAGCGTCTCACCTTCGCACTCAATACCGCCCAGGATCGGATCCGAGGAGAGACGCCATTCTACTTGGTACATGGCTGGGATCCTAGATCCACGCTCGAGGCTACGATCGCGGTGGGCAGCACTCGCCGTCAGGATCGGGATCCGAGGCGGTGGCGATACCAGATCCAACGCTATTATCAGCAGGCACGGTCAGAAGTCAACGCGCGACTGCAAGAGGCGATCTCGGATCGGGCGGACCGGCACAATGAAGAGATCCGTCCGCACCAGATTGAAGTTGGATCCAGAGTTTGTCTGTATTTGGATCGGGTGAAAGAGGGATATGCTCGCAAGTTGGCTCATATGTGGCACGGTCCGTTCCGCGTGGCGGAGAAGATGGGAGAATACGCTGTGCGGATCGAGACCCCTGGCACGGAGTACCGGTTGTTCCCCGTGGTGCATGTTTCCAAGTTGAAGCTTGTGAGGAATTTCCCAGACCGACCTCAGATCCAGTTGACCGAAGGCACTACGGAGCGATACGACTTTGATGAAGCACTACTGCCGGAGGACAGCTGGATCCAGGATCGAGGTGAAGATGAGAACGAAGTGGAGAAAATTACTGATATGAGGACTGGAAAGCGCGCTAGGTACGGCCGGATCCACCGTGAATTTCTGGTACACTGGCGTGGATACGAAGATCCATCCTGGGTGGATGAGGCGGATCTCAACTGCGGATCTATACTACATGAGTTCCTGCGGAGTCGCACCAACCGGAACCGGTTCGGTGCGATGCAGTCTCACGAAGAGCAGTGAGGCCGGAACCCCCCGGAGTGGGCTGGCCGCTTTGGGAGGAGAATGTGGTGATGGATCTGCAAGGAGCTTGCAGATCGATGGATTGGAGACTCTGTATATGTGCATGAAATAATCGGACGCGAGTGGTGTCCGACAAGGTGGAATTAAAACGAAGCTGGAGGTGTTTGGGATCGGGAGGTGAAGCTGGATTGGAGTGTGAATGCGGGTCTGGATCGCAGTAGAAGAGACGAAACTAACATGAACGATAGACAGACGAGTAGAATGTATTAAGACCAGTCTCGATGTACCGGGTGCGGATCCAGCGCCAACGAATCTGGCCAACCATCAAAAGGTTTGGATCTGAATCTACACGAAGGCTGCCGCCCTGGATCTGGATCCTACTGGTCACCAACCGCGCGAAGATTGAAAAATTTGGCAGGAAGACGCGCGATGTTGCGCGCAGGATGGTATTGGGGAGTATCCCGGTAGTGATTGCACCATGGATCCTCGTTGTTACACTCATTCAACGCCTTCATGAGATCCGTGGGCTCTGGCCGGTTCAAGTTACGATCCACCAAATTAGCCTGGCGCGAGGCCAACCCTGGGTACCACGTGACGGACTCGGCGCGCTTGGGGAAATGCAGAAAATGTGGATCCAGCAGGATGTCCAGGTCACACCACCCTTCACGCATGACGGTGATCAACAACTCCAAGAACTGCTTCCACGCACGGCCCGCGTGGGATCTACGGTTACTGCGTTCCTTCTGAAACACTATCAGCCACGGGTATTTCTTTGCCATCGCATCGGGAATCGGGAAGTGGTGGGTCGACTCCCAGTAGGACATGATATTAGTGTCTTCGAAGATCCCGTACTCATGGATCAGGATCCCAAGTCGACCACCCACGTTGACTTCAAACGAGATGGCATCTCCCGAGTTCTCGAGGATTTCCCAAGGGTGGTGTCCAATAGCGCCCGCACGTTCTCTTCTGTGATGAGCTCCCAGCAGCAGTAACTGAGTTGGATTTTCGGCTTACGGCCCTGAGCAGGACCGAAGTATGGAAATAATCAGCCTGAAGCAGCGGGCAGGATCGGGAACAATACGTCGACCAGCATAGATACCATGGCCACGTCGTTCAGGCGATCCACCAGCCAAGGGTGACAGTCGGCCAAAACCAACATATGTGCATGCTCACGACCTGGGATGCAGTCAGAGTCCGGCGCGAATGGAACAACAGGAGCCAGAGGGTCTTGCACAGGTGGTCGACGGGCACGATCCGGACGGAGACTGCGTGGATCGGGATCTTGCGGGGCAGTTGGATCGGGATCTTCATGCGGATCCAATCCATCATCATCGTCAGGGGCACCACCAGCGCTCGAAAGCAGTTGGCGACGAGGATAGGCGTGCTGTCGCCGTCTCTCGTCGGATCGCGACCGAGATAACGCCTCTCGAGTCTGGGCTTCAAACAGCTCATTCGCCATGATCTCAGTCTCTGCGTCGTCGTCGTTGGTCTCCTCACTCGCCTCGTGGTGTTCGTCATCCTCTCCTTCCTCATGGTCGTTGCCGTCCTCTTGGTCGCCGTCATCCTCCTCTTGGTCGTCGTCGTCGTCCTCCTCCTGGTCGTCATCATCTTTCTCTTCCGGGTTGTCGCCGCCTTTCTCCTCAAATTCTTCGTGACGTTTCTTCTCAGGGTCATGGCGATCCTCCTGGTTACCGCCCCCATCGTCGTCGATTTATCCCTCTGTGGCAGAGCCGGAAGCTGCGCGACTACCCTCCTGGTCCATAGCTTCATCGTGCTCGGAGGGCGGCGAGAAGATGCGACGCTTGACGGCCGGAGTTAGATCTGGATCGGGAGTCTCCGGGCCACGATCCCGTTTCGAAGTGCCGGAGTCTATTTGCCGACTCAACTCTGGATTCGCCTCTGGATCGGGATCCCGCTGAGCGGGGTCGGAAGTTTTGCCGGCAGGCTGCTGCTCGGCAGATCCGGGGGGCGCAATACGGATCAAGCTGAGGATGTAGGCCGGATCCAGAACCTCTTCGATTGCGCCAGGTCGCGCTCTCGCCAGAGTGGTGATGGAGGTCAGCTGCCAACGCGCGACTGAGAGCTCCAGCTGTAGCACGTCCCGCTCATGGCTCATCCGGATCAGATCCTGCGTCAGCGACCGACTCTCAGATTCGATCGCCTGGATCCGACGCCCCATTGTAGTTACGGTCTGTTCGGACGCATCGAAGTCGGATTTGAGATCATTGAACTCCGAACGAACTTGGTTCACTTCACCTTGAAGGGCGTCCCGCTCCGGGCATACCTGCGCCAGATCCGCGACAGTCGTCTCCTGGAGATCCCGCAGACGAGTTAGCTCCGGGTTGTCACGTTCCCGCACAGCTTGATCCAGAGCCGCCATGGTAGCTCTGTGGGTAGCTCGCAGGCGATTCAGCTCGTCACGAGCCTCCGTGTGCATCCGCTGGTGGGCAAGCAGGTCTTCTCGCGCCTTCATGAAATTCCGCGTGACTTCGGCCAATGATGCGTGAGCGCGATCCCGTTTCTGCGTCAGGGTCGCAATCTGTTGCAGATCCGCCGAAGTAATTTGATCTCCTGTTTGGAGCTCGGCCTCGACCCTTAGGAGCTCCTCCTGGACTCGATCCATGTTGTGCTCAGCTATGTCCCGCTCGTAGTTGGCGTCATCCAAAGCGCGATCTAGGTCGGTGTTTCGATCCTGAAGCTGCTGGATCTCGGTGGCGGCCAAACTGACCTCGGAAGTCAGATGGTCGTTGTTCTCCTGCAAGCGATCCCGCTCACGCTCAATCTGCTCGATGTGACGCTGGAGATCCCGGATCTCGTTCACCTGTTAGTCGACCTGGCCCTGGAGTTGGAGAGCCCGCGCTACCCCAGCTACAGAAGTAGTTTCTCGGCTGCGACGGACTGCGACTTCCGATCGCAAGCTGCTCAGTTCTGCGTTCTGCTGCTGTATGTACGCTTGAGTCGCGTCCAGCTCCCCCGTCTGGTGCAGCAGTAAAGCGGCGACCTCTTCTTAGTTGCGAACTGCAGCATCACAGGAGGCGATCAGAGCGCGCAGTTCCTCCCCGCGAGGATCGCGAGGATCTGGACTGGGTGGATCCGGCGAAGACCGATCCGTGTGACGATCGCTGCACGCTGACGAGCCGCGAGAAGGGCTGCGACCGGAGCCGGACATGTCAGCGAAGCTGGGGAGGCGAAGAAGTGGGTAACTGTGCCGGTAGTGATGCCGTTAGTCGGCAGCAACTACGGTCAGGAGGCGATTGTGGAGAAGCGCAAGTCCCAAGATTCAGTGATGGCAAGTAATTGGACGATTGATGGATCTGGACCTCGCCACAGATGCGGAATAGTGACAGGCCCAGATGGATCCAGATGAATCTGGATCTACGCCCACGGAGATCCAAGATCCAAGATCCATGAATCAGATGGAGCTGGATCCGGACTCAGATGGATCGGGATCTACGTCGACAGAGATCCAAGATCCAAGATCCAGGCGTAATCAAGAGGCTGTGGACACGACCCTACGGGCAAGCAGCTGACACGCAATGAAGGTAAAGGGAGTCCATAGAGTCGGTAGGAACCGATCGGATGATAGGAGCCACATGGCAATAGGACTTTGGGATAGGAACGAACTTAAGCATAAATCAGACCAGAATTTGCCTTGTACATCGCAAGCGCTTCCTCCCTCGCCTGGAAACGGGAACGACATTGGTCCTACACGGCGTAGAGAGGTTAGCGATAGCAGATCTAGTGTTGGTTGTAAGACTGGAGTAATATATTGGCCAGGTCCAAGACCTTCCTCGTGAACTACCTGCAAGTGCAGATCCAAGATCCACCGGAGTTATCTGTTTGGCCGGTGCGTCCTTCTCGTCTCAACTGTCAACGACACCGTCATTGGAGGCGGCAAACACGACCAAGGAAGACCTGTGAAGGCAACGTAAAGGACAACAACCTCAAAAGGCAACAACCCGGCCGGATCCAGATCCAGGCCGCCAGATCTAAGTACAAGACTACTGGATTTGGAATACTACCGCGAGCAGAGTGAAGATTTCCACGCTGCTCCACCCACATCCCCGCGTCTCGCCCAGACTGTTCTCTCGTCAAGGCTCGGACGCTTCGGAAGACACCAGAGGAGCAAGATCCAGCCCTACCGACGGGTACACAAGGTGACCAAGTTCAGCACACAGATCACGGATCATCGGGGGACCCCCTCCGTAAGTCGGTGTTCGGGCGCAGTTGGGAAGTTGGATTGGCAATCTCGCAGATTTTGCTGATCCCGCTACACCACACTTGGGTCTCGGCACCACCTTCCATGTCTTGTTCGTCATCAGCGACTTGAGCTCACTTGCAATCGCTGCCTTCCATTGGGCACGATCCTCGCTCGTAATCGCTTCTTGGTACGCCCTTGGTGCATCTTCCGTTGCAGCCATCAGCATCCCACCGTGGATAGTGAGTTGGTTCTCGTCCGACTTGGCGCGACCTTGGTCCACCTTCTGACGCTTCGCCCTGATCTCGGATGGCGCAACGACTTGCTTCTTGCGAGCTCCGGGCTCTTCAGGGTCGTTGGTCTCTTCAATACGACGAGCACGCGATCGAGTAATCATAAGATGGGTAGGATACGGAACGATTGCTCCACCTGTCGTCACGTCACTAGGTGACATAGTCGGGCCACCAACTTCAACTTCAGTCGAAACATCACGAATAGGCACCAGTGCAGGTACCGTTCCAGAGCTGGGGTCCGTAACAACCGGTTCTTCATCGTCGTCGATCTCCAGACGTGTCATCAAGTGGTCGGGTTCAGTCGTCTCCATGAACTTCACGGTGCGCACGATTTGCACCTTCCCCGTCGCCACGTTGAGAACGCGGTATTCCTTCACACCATCTTCGTAACCCAGGAAACGATACTTGAAAGCCTTCGCGTCGAGCATTCGGCGTTTTTCTTCAGCAATGTGGGCGTAGCCAAGTACACCAAGCACCTTCATGTTTTTGAGCAAAGGCTTAGCACGGTGCACGATATCGTGGGGTGTCTTCACGGTCACAGAATTTGGGATCCGGTTCATGATCCAGGCCGCCGTGTTGACAGATTTCGCCCACACTTCTTGTCGATCCCTTCATGGTAGAGCATGCAGCGCGCGATCTCCACCAAACTTCGATTCATGCGCTCAGACAGTCCATTCTGCTGAGGCGTGTACGGCACCGTCTTCTCATGTTTGATGCCGCTGCGGTCGAGGTAGGCCTTGAACTGCTTGCCCGTGTACTCGCCGCCATTGGGTGCCTTCCAAAACCTACATAAAAAGTTTAATCACTGGGGTTAGGGCGCATTAAAGGGGTCATTAAACTTGCTGATTAAACTTAATTTCTTTGGTCCGATCAAAAAAATGTCGGGTCAAACAATTATTTGGTCACCCTTTTATCAGGTTGTATCTGCCCCCCAACTTGCAACCGCATTAAAAAGACACTTGTATTCACTATGCGATCAAACACAACCTCTATATAGCAAATTGAAGTTCAACGACATGGCGTGGGCTACCGCTCCCTTCCGCGCGCAACGAGGCTCTCATATCCAGATTCACCGGCTGTAGCGCAAGTGCTGCCGTCCTGCGGAAGTTGACCGGTGCGTCACTCGCTTTCTTGAATGGTTGTGGTAAACGGAGTCTACCTACTTACATGCAAGATGTTTAGTAGCTACGCCGTAGAAGCAGACAACCTCAACACCCTCGTTGGCTTTCGGCGGCGAGTCTCCTTGCCTAGGTGAGTCTCTTTCAGCCTCTAAACGATGTGCTGCATGCTTGCAGGTGTGTTTCGGCCGGGAGAAGCTTGATCTCGGACTGCCGTATCAATCAAACTACGCCTGACAGCATCGGTGCGTATGAGGGGCGATGTTTTCTTACATTTCATTGCTAACTTCCTTTCTTGTTTCGACCCTGCATTTAGACTAGATACAGTGTCAAACATGAGCCCTTCGCATAAGCGAGAAGGGCCCGACCCGGAGCCAGACGCGGAGCACGACACCGAGTTTGGCACGGAACACGACGCGGAGCACGACACCGAGTTCGGTACGGTGGCCAACACGGAGCCAGACGCAGAGCACGACACGGACGCTCAACACCGAGGGAACTCTTGTCGATGGGCAGCTGGACCTAATTGAAGAGGAGTCTAGCTCGTACCTGGACAAAATTACCTGATTGATGAAGTTCATGTCATTTCCAAAATATCAAATCCACATCCAGGGCGCTAAGTACGGTCTTGGTAGGCAAGACACAGTATGATAGTTTCGTATGCGGACGATACGCGCGTGTTCCACCCGCATGACCTCTTCGTGCTGTCGACGGCGAAGATTTAGTAGGACCGCGTTGGCCACAGCTGCCCTACGCTGCATCCGGGACACTAAGAAGAGAACCACGGCAGTCTGGGCGTCTTGCATCTTTCTTCTATTCCAGGAAGAATGCCAGCGTTCGAAGGACTTGTAAATGGAGCGACGAGAGGGAGTTGCTGACAGGAGTGGTGATGCTTTTCGCGCCTAATGAGATCTTGATATATTGAAAAAATGTTTTAAAATTGTCCTGTCAAAATTTGTTCCATTGTGATACTATACATTATTGTAGTCATCTGGGCAGTTTTACCCGGACACATTAACCAGTTAAATAGGGTTTTGGGCGTTGGATTTCGGTGCATCTTTTTAATGCGGGATAAAACGTGACCAAGGGCGGATAAAAGGGTGTATTAAACGGAGTCGCATTAAACCGTTTTATGTAGGTTTTGGAAGGCACCCATTGTCCGACAGCAGGCGCTTGATCGTCTTGCCCGTTGCGTTCTCCATTGCTGCCTTGAAGATCTTGAACTTTAGCGACCATGTCACCACGCTCTTATAGAGCTGTGCTGCGCGCGCTCGTTGCTCTCTTACTAGTAAGGCTGGCCCCAGAATCAAATGGTCAGGCTCCTCCTGCTCATTTTCGGCTTCAACGGCGGCCTTGAAGGGAATGTCTAACGCTGAGCACAGAGATTCTAGCTCCGTCGCCTCGGTTACCTCGTCTTTCTGAAATTGCTTGACCCTGCACAGGCTGGGATTTTCGGTACGTGAACAACGATGCGCGCCATGGTGACCATTGAAGATGCCGCTCGACTCATGAATGGAGCGGGTTGCTGGATATGATTTTCAGCCGCTGGCGTTCGTGATTCAGCGTCGTGGACAACAATCTGGCTAATCCGTAGTAGACGCTGCATGTAGTATCGCCGTCGACCAGTATATCGCTTGAGCAAAGCGTTGAATGTCTCACATGGATTGTTCGTTATTGCGTAGCCGCTAGGCGTATGAAAGATCTGCCACCACCAATATCTGCTGTCGAGCCATTGAGCCTTAAAATAGGCTACGAACGCTTCAAGTGGGGGATATCTTGCCAATCCTTGATCACATCGTCCTTTGCCGAGTAGTACGTATCCATGTTGGTAGCATCGTGGATCAGCAGTAATCCATCTGTCACCGCTCGGCGGTGCTTCGGTGACAAATGCCGAGTTCGTTTTCGAACATTGTACAGCACGTGAAAAAAAACACATCAGGTACGTCGCAGAGGAAAACTCAGCAACCTGTTGGAAGCCGTTCAGTTGTGCATCCTCTGCATCTCCCATTACTGCATCAATGTGGAGGGAGGCCGTTGGGCGAACTTGCTTGATCAATCGAGTTAGTGCTCGCAGGCACATCGAGTACTCGGTGGCTGTCCGGTGACTGGCAACAAATATGGCAGGTAGCTGGTAAGATCGAGATGCGTCGGAGAAGCCACACGTAATTATTGGGTACCCAAGATCGCTCAACTTAAACGTAGCATCGGCGTGAAACAGCGTAAAACGACTAGCCGAAGCGTAATTGATCGTTGCATTGACTAGTGCAAGACTTGTGGCCAATAACGAAAGAATCATCATCTGTTCCTTTCCCGACGTACGCATATCCATCTGTATCCTCGCGCCCTCCAAAGAAGAAGGCTTTCTTTAGGTCTCCGGTAATGCTCTCGCATGAGTTGCTTCACAGCGTGCACCGAGTTTTTTGTTCCTTTCAGCCGCCTCAAATATTTAGCGCAGTTTTGTCACCTGGCTGAGGGAAGGATATCCTCGTTTTGGCTCGATGATGTCGGAGACATGGCGCATGTTGCTGAGAATAAGCTGCGGAGAAATACCACACTCGTCTTGTTGGAGAATGAACTTCTTCGTCTCAGTTGTTATCACGGTTTTATGAGGACCATCACACTAGACGGAGTCACCACGGATGTGGTCTACCGAGTTGTAAAAAATTGTCGTACGCTTCGAGTCATCGCATCGCCAGATTTTCCATTTCACCTTGCAGGAACCAAACACTTTGCACGTTTTGCTCGTGCACTCCAGTCGTCGTTCGGTCATAACATGTTCTTCCCCCTACCATATCATACATCCTCGGGTCGGATCCGTGTGTGTCACTAGAGCAGCAAAATTCTCCCTCTACAAACTCATCGGCAGCTTCAACAGTGTCCAGCGTACAAAGCTCTTCCCAATTATACTTAGGCCGGTGCATCGTGATGTCGATGGCTCGTCACCGGTCTCGCGCTGTCACCGCTCGCTCTGCTGTGCTTTAGGCACTCGTTGTCGGCTTCGCTGGGCGCTCTACTGGCCTTGCCGCTGTCACGCCCCGTGCGGTCTGTGGTGGGTTTGTTAGTCGGCTAGCGCTGTGACGACGGGCCCGGAATGATGATGGCTGGTGCGGAAAGCGAAGTCCTATTATAGGCAGTGCACCCGTTTTTTTATGTTGGCAACATTTTTTCAGGACTGCATCTGTGCTTTTCTCGCTACAATCTGTGGATTTACCCGTCCCAACAAATTTATCTGTGGGGCTCCTGATCAATGTGTGTGACTACATGTTTCATCTGTAAAGCTAATCTGTCTTGTCTGTGCCATTCTACCGTTCTCGTCAGAAGTATGCTGTGAGTAGACTGACTCTGTACGTGAAAACAAATCTTTGATCAAAATATAGTCCACATTTCGTGGACGTAACCTAGCATTGTACATCAAGCCATTTTTTAGTCCTGGTGACGACCACCTCGAAATCTCTCTATCCGACTTGATTAGCTCGAATTTGCCCTTTGGGTTGCAGTGAGAAGTAGTGGTCTCAAGTTGCGAAGCGGTTATGGTAAACTGTACACCGCAATCGCTAATGCCGTCACAGCTCAATGAGCCCATGATTGCCGCTACGTATCTGTACGACGTAAACCTCAACCATTAGTTTGGTAGTTTTGTATTGGCAGAGACTATTGCCACAATCTGGGGAACGGGTGTCACCCTGCTTCATATCATGAAAATTGTAGGGGCCGGTAGCAAACTGTTCCCCAGCCTAAACCCAAAAACCCTTCCTTGCAGGGCTTAACCCGAACGGGCCGAGCGAGATGTGACCATGCTTGGTCCTGGGTTTAAGCCCGCGTGCTCTGCACACGGATCTTAAACCGCAGGCGTTGTTTCGGCTGCCGAGCGAGTTGGTTTCACCCCCTCCCGAGTTATATATATATACTAAGTACGAATTGTCATCCACATACAAATTCTAAGTCATCTCAGATTGTGGTAATAGAGACTCTCCTACTGTATTCCCCAACGGCAGGGGATACGCATACAGTCTCCGCAAGAGAAAGCGCGAGACTGTTTGTTATTCATACAGTCCTCGGTTGTCTGGGTCTGTATGCAGGTAAAGATCTACATATGGTACACATAGGACGCTCATAATTGCACATAGCGTGTCCATTGCAGAATGTGTGTCAGGCAGAAAAACTGTGCGTGATAGCCACGTCATTTTGGACTAAGTATGTGGGTCCGCAGCTCCCCTCAAGGGCTTCCTCGCAGGAGCGTCCCAGGAAGATGACGATGAAACGAAGTACAAGTAGTGAACCAGAATCGAAGACACGCAGCAGTGGCATCGCTATGAGCTCGTCCGGAATGCCCACGTGTGCGCGAACGGTAGCGCCAACTGCCTGTACGACCGCGGCATGACACTCAAGGTGCCAGCACCACTCAAGGGCGAACTCGACTCACCACGCGCTACAGGACGCGAACCAGATCAGCAACGGCCGGGCAGCTTTCTGCAGCTCGCTTACCGACTGTTCTGGATGATGCCGCGTCGGGCAGCTACGCGAGAAGCTGCTCGCTATTACCGTCAATGCATCTACCCAGCCAGCACCTCGTCGAGCAACTAGAGGCGGCGCTGCCGGTTGCAGCGGCGTCGGAGCTGCCACCGCCTGTAGTTGCTCAGCCGTCTGGCCATCTAGTACGTGGGCAGCGGTCGCAGTAAACAAGCAAGTCGTGGCGGTGCTGGTGAGTCTGGGCGAGAGTTTGCTGTCGATTCTGCGCGTGTTGCGGGTGCTCGTGGACCGCCTCAAGACCTGAAAGCTGGACGTCGGCGTGTACAAGGTCAAAGAGGCGCGACGCTGGCTGCCGTTCCAGGTGACAACCTGCTGCTTCATTGAGGAGGCGGCGGAGCTGCTGAGCGTGGAGCTCCCAGGCGCGGACCAGACGCAGAGCGTCGTGTAGGCTGGCGAGACCCTGGACGCGGTGTGGAGTTGCTGCCGGTGGACGGCCGGAAGCTTCACAGACTTCTTTGCTGCGATAATGTTGGTGCGCTGGCTCCGTTGACGGGTGTTGAATTTCGGAGTACATCCTCCGGGTCTCTTTGCTACATTCCGGAAACTCGCTGGCCTATTGCGTTACTACAGTGTAGTTACTACAACAAAGTTATGCACGATACGTGTGTTTCGAAATCGTTGTTTTACCTCGAAGTCATTATCTCGTGCTCAGCGTCTTAACGCGACTTGGATTATGACTGAATTCTGTGCCAGCCTTGTTGATCGCTGGGTTACACGCTGTTCGAGAGTGAGTAGCACAAGTATTTGTACCTGAAGAGCTGCATTAACTCCTTTCTGTCGTCGTCGTCATCGATGTCACTTACCGATGAACCGGATAGCATAGCTTCGAAGAAGATGAGGACGAATAGGCCGCAATTGTAGTTGTCGACTTGGGTCATCGACGGAAAGACAGCAAACTTGTATCCAGTCTCGCGCCCTGGTAGGAGTGGGAATATCTCCTTGACGGCAACAGCTTTTAGCTGCTTAATCCTGTCACGACATTGCTGCGGATCAAATACTGTAACGATGCCCGCCGACACGTTGGCTACCAGCGCACACCAATGATTCCCATCGACGTTCACCGCTATCAGCAGCAAAGGGAGGCGCTCGCTCGACAGCACATGAAACGCATCTTAGACTGGTAGGCGCTCTGGGAGATAGTGCGGTAGACTCAACACATTAGCAGGAATCGAAATAGCCTTGCACCTTCCTCGGTGCAGCCGAATCATTCGACGCGTCGCGCGGTCCAGACATTCCTCTTCAATATCCTGCTTCCCACAAAATGTCGTGAGGAAGTAATCGGCATGCAGCACTCGAATCATCTTCAACCGCAGTGCAGCTTGTCTCGGCTCCATGATAGGTTCGTCCTTGGCGATGGATATCACCTCAGGCTGCCAGGTAATACCGAGTGCCCACTCTACTGCCGCATCGATGTCGGCAAACCTTTGGATCATCATGTGCCACTTCTTCATGTCCTCAATAGCGCGTGCTTCGTAAGAAACGCCGTTGACAGTCACGACAATGTCTTCTCTTGTGATTCTAGAGTCGTCGTCAGATACCCATGCATTTTGGAATCTAGTAATCTGCATTGAGCACGCCGCAAGCGTTACCATAGCGAGCACCGACGTCACCCGGTCATTTGCTGCCGGGCGCTTTTCATCTGCCGTCGCAGATACCTTAATGGAAGATCGCTTTATCTGGCGAACTTGTAGAGCCCTCATCGCTGCTTCGTAAAATACGTAGGGCCCTTGAGTGACACAGGCCTCTCTGGCACTGAGAGAGGGTGAAAAAGCGAACTCGCTTGTCGACGTCGAAGAGCAGCGACCGGCAGCAACTCAGACTGTCAGACAGTCTGAAAACGGACTACAATCTGTTCGAGCTCAGGCACAAGATGAGCTGGAGTGGAAGTTGTCCAAAACAGCGAGCCGACCTAGTGCGGCTAAAGGCTCGCGGGCGAAGCAGAACGAGCAGAAACGAAAGGATATGAAAACAACCGTCGCCAGAGTCAATGCTGTCTCTAGACGACTTAGTGTCAGTGCCAAGGATGGACGTGCGAAAATTCGCGTCATCTCTGGCTTTCGAAGAGTATTTTCAGATCTACGCGAAGCGCACACTTTAGGTTTGTTTTTTTGCAAATTATTTACAGCCACATGGAAGATTATCGTACAAAAGGAATTATTTTGCTTGTGTGTAATCCCAGCTTTTTACACACCGGACTTCAACACCCGTATCAACGCGGAACAAGCGGATTAAGGCAAATGGTGGAAACAGTGACTTCGTTCCAGATTCCTTCAGTTTCTATAATGCGACGTATCAGTGCACGCACAGCGACGATCCGCTCGAATCCATGGCAAGACCGCGTACAGGAAGCCGACCAAACCAGCGCTCTCGCAAAATCGGGTGTCCCGCCCAGGTGCGTATTGTTACTGACAATGATGTATTTTTTTCCGCCTGGTCATTTCTAACATTTCTTCTATTTTAGATAAACGCGTGTGTGCAGCAGAATGACGAAGACTGGGAGGTCTGTGTTACTCGTCAAGTTGCCCAGCACAACCACGAAGTAGGCCCTAACATCTTCAAGACCTATCACGAGAACCGACGCATCGAAGATGAAGAAGTAATATCCACGGTGCAGACGCTTCGTCGCAGCGGTGCAAACCGGAAGAGAATTCTGCAGTATATATTAGAGAATACGGTCGTCGAACCGACAATGAGAGACGTGCATAATCTGCTAGCGCGGCTACAGGAGGACGACTACGCTTTTCCGACAGTGGAGGAGCGGGTTCAAGCATTTCTGGAAGACTTCGCTCAAGAAACCGGAAACGTATCCAGAATCATCATCAAGGAGGTAATTATATCTTATTTGTGGTCTTTTGGGTGCTAATTTACTTATGCTTAATGGTTGTGCACGTATTACAGGGTAAGGCGCTCTGCATCTTCATGCAAACGGCTCACATGCGTCAAATGTTTAGCTATTTCCCGGAGGTACTCCTCATTGACGCTACCTACAAGACCAACTCCGCCCACTACAAGCTCTTCTCTTTTATGGTGCACGACGCCTTTGGAAAGGGTCAATACGTGCAGATGGGTTTTTAGTTTTATCTAAATATCTTGACTGGGCTTGGATTGTATGCCAGTCTGGGGTTGTACTTACAATCTTCAACTGTCGCAATGTAAACAGCACAGTCTCGTCGAAAATGAGCAAAAGGAGACGCTTCGGGAAGCATGCATGCAGTTCAAGCAAAGCTGCCCCGAGCATGAGTCAATTGCTGTGATCATCATAGACAAGGACTTTACGGAAATTTCCGTGTTGGCCGAAGAATTCCCAGGTGTCCGCTTGCTCCTGTGCCACTTCCACGTAGTCCAGTGTCTTCAACGCGAAGTATCTAAGGAAAGGTACCGGTTGGATACATTTCAGAAGAATGAGATCAAAAGATTGGCTAGCTTGCTGGTTAGCGCCCCGATGGAGAAGAAGTACGACCAAGTGCTGAAGACGATGAAGGTGGTTCTGCGAGATCCCGTGCTAATTGAACGCTGGTTTAATATGTTTGATGAGAACTGGAGCACCTGTAAGGAGATGTGGAGCTCCATATATCGCGGCAACATCCCACACTTAGGGAACCAAACGAATAACCGGTGCGTGAGCGATTCATCGTGGCTGTATTGGTATGGTGCCTAAGAATCTTGTTGTATGTTCCTGTTGTGTGGTTATGCATAGGCTGGAGTCGAGCTGGCAGAAATTGAAAACTCTGGTTGATAGCTCCCCCTCAGGCGTAGACGACTGCGTGGCATCTATCCTGTTCTGGCAGTCCGTTCAGGAGAGAGAATGGCGGCGGAAGCTGAATCGCATTGGTGTCTATCACAACAGTCAGTATGACAAGGAGATGGCGGCGTTGGCGAACGTCATGTCGGACCACGCTGTTGCGCAAGTTAAACAGCAGTATGACTTTGTACTACGGCCGACAACACGCTACGTGCACTACCGACTCCCTCCATACGTGATGATCTACTTCGACACGCCGATTCTGCAGACGCACTGGACCAATTTTCAGTTGATGCACCTGACGAGTACACGCTAAACCCTGTTGAGTGGACGTGCTCGTGCATTTTTAACGTCACGCGGCATCTACCTTGAACAATTTCGTGAGTTGATACCGACCTCGATCATTCAGCGGCGTTGGTTGATCAAGAATTTTCGCGGTATCACGAGGGCTGATGCTGCAAGTCTTCACGACGTCGAGTCGTTCAGCATGCCGTCTGTTGCACGCTCTCCGCCCTCCCGAGCCAAGTCCCAGAGTGAAAAGTACAAAGAGCTGCTCTCGATTGGCAAGGAAATTGCGGAAGTCGGCTGTCTGTGGGGGACTCGAGCCCAGATCAATCTGCAAATATTTCTGAAGCAGGTGCTGGCCGATCTGAAAGCCGGGAAGGATCCACAGCTTCAATCGGCGTGCATGTCCTCCATCTTCAACGCGTCCGCGACGGCGCGCTGGCAGTGCAGCCCCATTGAGACCACTAAGTGTCGATTCATGCAGCCGATCGAGGAGTTGGCAGCGTCCTCAAGTAAGCGCATCCTTGCCTCCGTCATGCTTCGATGCGAACCCCGTTCGAACATCCGCTGTCGGTGCTCCGACAGGTACGCCTTTACTTTCGCCTTGAAGACGCTAATTACACGTGTAGCAATTACCGTACAGTATACACAACCTGTTTTAACGTCATAAGTTTGCCAGCAAGCTTCGCACTAATCGTGGACGTGGAGACGTCGACCGCGAAGTGCTCCATGAGCTTGTCTCACAACTGGACGAGCGTCGACGTGCAGTCCTCGTCTAAGTAGCCCTCCAGCGCCTCAACCATTGCGTCCGTGCACTTGACGCAGCTGGCGCGGGCACCGCCTCTCGGAGGCGGGCTGGGATCTCCTTTCTTGCACAGCCTGTGCGCCGCCGCCCGCGAGACGTTGTTGTATTTCGCCACGGTGAGCCAGTCGTCGCCAGCCGCGAACGCATCCAGCACACACTAGCATTCTTCTTCAGTGGCAGTGCGCCGCGGCAGCGACGGCGACGGCAAAGCCAGAGCTCTCGGCGACTCGGACATGCGGTCGGCGTGGGGCGCGGTAGATTGGGGAATGGTGCGCTCGTCTCGGATGCCCTGGAGCTAATCTCGCTTGCTCCATAGCCAGTGATATAAATTATGTAATATATCTAGATTGGGTAAATTACCTGGTAATATTTCATCTATCTCGCATTGCTCTGGCACCATCTTGTATTGGACTGGCAAATTTGTAGCAACGCCGGGATTGGGTCCTGGCCACTGACCTGCCTTTGAACGAAGAAGCTGACGACATCGACATAGAATGGGGCGTAGACATAAAGGCCAGCGACACGCAATCACTTGTGTCGAGCATTCTTCGTAAGACAGTTTGACGACAAATCAAATTTAGCCATGTGATTGGCTAATATTATGCGTGGTGTTGTCCGTGTATGCCCTTGGCCGGGCCGTCTGCGTCGCCGTCGTGGCATGCACCAGCAACGGATAGCCGTGCTGACGAGCAGAATCGGCAGCATGAACGTGTATTTGTTTCGTTTTCGATTTCGTAGTAATGTGAAGTGCATCACAGTTATTTGGCCTAACTAGCGACCTACTAAATGCCAGGTCCTTCAAATGAAAGTGCGTATTATACATATTTTATGAGGTCCGAGGAGCTCTTCCATGAAGCCGCGTAGTCGGCGTAAGTAGGGAGATGCCCTTCGGAGGACACGACGCGGTTGGTACACGGAGAACTGAATTGTGCTTGAGCGTGCATTGAATAGCAAACGACTAGAATGTACACTCGAGCACTCTCTAGAAACTTGTCAACAAAGCCGAAATGGAAACACTACGTAGATTCAAGCTTAACAGACAGCAATAGACTGGCGCGGTTATAAGCGCTCTAGAATCGCTGCCTCTTATGCTACGTAACTAACCACGTTATTGAAGGAAGGCTTGCCCGCATCATGATACGTACATTGCAACCTGACAGTACGAAAACTCCTACAATATTTCCCTCGTGACACTATTCGTTACCATCCAGGCACTGAAAAGCTCTGGACGTGGCATTTTAAGAGCAACAGATCAGAACAGCCTTAGCGCTAAGGCTTCACGCAAGGCCTGGCGCGGCCGCCGTGGCTGCAGCCAGAATATCATCCTGTTGTCGACGGACCTACGCGCCGTCTTGGCGAACAAAGGTGCCACCAACACAGCCTGCATCCGCACCGCTGCCGTGGTTGAGTGGGCCCGAGCATGCACATGCAGCTCTGCACGTCAAGTAGAGCTTTTGACCAATAATATGGCGCAAACTGGTGTCCGACAAACTGTCTTACGTTTTGAGTGACAAAATACAATGTAGCCACTGGTATACTAAAATCAAGATGTAATCAAAATGCGTTGATTGCAAAACGTAAGACGCTTTGTCTTACGGTATGCTCTCTAGGGACCAGTATCGTCTTACGAAAGAGCATAAATCTCGTTTGCCCTGGTGTTAATCTCATTTGCGTTGAAATCACCCAATTTAGTTATTTCATCTTGTGCCCAAAACAATTTGTACATGTATCCAAACAATCCCGTTTTGCTTTCCTTGCTGTCTCGTATTGAGGTGTAGATAGTACCACTCTTTTGGGACTGTATGCGTATCCACTTGAAGTGGATACGCATACAGTCCCAGAAGTGGACCACTTCCATTCCCCAACTGCAATCAGATATCGCGTGCGCCCGAGGCTCGATCAATCAACAGGACTTTCCCCACATACCGTGCCTGTAATAATGCATTGCGAACGCTGCGGTATGTCTCAAACATGCGAATTAATACCCACAGTTGTATAAAAATACATCTGGCTTTAAAATACAGTTTGCCAGTATGCAAATTCCATCCTCGAACAGACAACGTGATCCCATGCGCTGCATTACATCCGTCTCCCGATTTCCTCGCGATCCATTCCGTGATCTGCGATTATGGTGCCGTCAAACGCAATGCTGGGACAGCCTTCCACTTGTGCGTGGCCCACCAGCATCTCTCGCTGCCACCACGGCAGTGCCACGACTAATACGTCATTTAGAAACTCGCCTTCTCGGGAGCAAACTTGACTTCAAGACAATGGTGTGCTCCTTCATGTTCAAGACCGCGGCCTTGGTTTCGGCTGTGCTGGCGACTCTCAGCGGTGCCGATGCGGAGCTGGAAACCGTGAAGCTCAACCACCCGACCGGGTCCAGCGCCGAGGTCTTCCTCTTCGGTGCCCACGTCAAGTCGTTCCGCAGCGTGTTCGACCCGAACATGGACATTCTGTTCATGTCGAACCGCTCGCACCTCGATGGCGTGAACCCCATTCGTGGTGGCATCCCCGTCGTGTTCCCGAACTTCGGCAGCGCCACGGGTTTGCCCAGCCACGGCTTCGCGCGCATCACCAACTGGACGCTGGCCAGCGTTGTGCAGGCCACCGATGAGACCAAGCCCAGCGTGGCCAAGTTCAAGATGGCGGCCAGCGAGGCGACCCGCAAGATGTGGCCCGTTGACTTCGAGCTCCAGTACGAGGTGAAGCTGTGGTCCGCCCAGCTCGAAACTACCCTGAACGTGCACAACACGTTCACTAAGGACATCGACTTCCACGCGCTGCTGCACAACTACATCGCCGTGAACGACGTACGCGACAATGGTGTGGTGGTCAATGACCTCAACGGCGTGAACTACTACGATAAGGTCGCCAAGGCTAACAAGACGGAGACTCGCGACATGATCAGCATCACGGCACAGATCGACAACGTATACAGCAACGCCCCAGTCAAGATCCGCGCTCCTATCAGGGGTGTCAACTTTGACTACACCGTGCAGGTCGAGAAGAAGGGCTCCATCAATGGCGCCGCAACCAAGACCGACGTTGTCGTATGGAACCCGTGGGCCGACCGCGCTAAGACCATGGAAGACTTCGGCCCCGAGGAGTACCTCAAGATGGTCGCCATCGAGCCTGGTCGTGTCAGCGAGAAGCAGGTGCTGCCCGCTGGCCAGACGTACACGCTGCAGCAGACTGTCTCGGCCATCCGATACTCGTAAAGAATGCAAAGTCGTCACCGGCGTGGTTACAATACCTAGCTGGAAATGAACACGAACGAATGCATACCTAAGTGAAGTTCTTCCGCGTGTTATCAATTGTACTACAGAAGTATTGTAAATGGCTGAACGCGGCACATACACATACACGTCCACGTAGTATATGACAAATAGCGGCGGCTGTTGCAGCAACTGGGTTGAAGCGTTCATGTCCGACTCGACTCGAATTCTCGAGAGCTCTTTGCAGCGAAAGGATGCTTTCGAACCGAAGTACTGCGAGGTAAGATTCGCATTTTTTTTACTACTGTAGTATTTTCCCAAGCTTTTCGGTTTTAAGAACATGTGAAGAGTAATTCAATTGTGCACGTATCATTAGAAAGATAACTTGTTATAAGGGTGCGTACTGCACAACTAAATTCCAGCGGAATGGGGCCAATTTCAGCGGAATTTGCATTACAGCGGAATGGCCGATCCGCTGGCGCGTACTGCATGCAATTCTAGCGGAAATTCGAGCATATTCCAGCGGATTTCATCCGCCCGAATTCGGGCAGGCAGCGGATTGATCCAGCGGAATTGAACAGATGGCGCCTTTGCGAAGACTTTTTTTAGAGAGTGGGTGGACTCCATTCACAAGCGCGTCTCTGTGACTGCCCGCGGGATACTGCTTGCGGAGGCGATGGCAATGCCGAAGGCAGCGAAGAGGGGTGACGTGGCACGGTGGCGGAGTTATCGAATGGAAGCTGTCGCCGCTGTGGTAGGAAGGAAACATGTCATTCAGGTCGATACTCTCAAAGGGAGTTTGGGCCAAGTCCGACAGTACCGTATTTTAGATCTCATACTACAGAGAGATCTCACAATTCAGAGCGGAGAGATAGTGCATTTGCGCCATAATAATATTATCTTTCTTGCCAAAACTGGCCATAATATGGCCAGTTTTGGCAAGACAGATCCAAAAATACGCACAAAAAGGGTGAAATGGTGCAAAGACAAAATACAACAACACAATTTCAAGAATATGGTGTATGAAGTATGAGATCTCAAATACGGCCCCCTCCACAACTCAATACACGTTTGCTTCTGATGCACGCTCTGTTTACGATATTTGACCGTGTAAAATAGCGATCCGCTGGACAGCAAAATCGCGCACTGCAAAACGAAACAGTGGATTGCTCGTTCCAGCGGGTGAGTCGGTTCCAGTGGATAGAGCTATCCGACGTTTTATTCCAGCGGAACTGCAGTACGCTTTTTTTTTTACTTTAACGAGTCGTAGTACCGTACACTTTCGGAAAGCTTGTTTTTTTTTCGCAGAAATGGATAATGTGTTTCCACTTCTGCGTTGTCGATCCCATCAGTTTAGTACAGACTCCGTAAAACTTCCGTACACTACAAATGTTCCTCAAAAGCGAGGAATCCTCGCTTTTGCATGTCGAGCGACCTCTGTATTGGTCGACGTGGTGTGGTGACGTCCGCGGGATCTGGCTCCGTACATGTATTCGCTGCATCCCTGACTGATAAGCGCGGTAAAACGTCCGCTTCAAATCGGGCATCGAGCATCGAGAAAGGTTGGCAACAAGGCGCCCTCGTCCAGCGTCCAAATGCCTCCTCTGCGAAGGTGTGGTTATTGTCACTGCGGAGCACCGCCGTGTACACGTATCGTAGACGAACTTGCCTCCAAATTGTCGGCGTCACCTTCAAGGCGGCCTTGGTCTGTTTGTCGGTCTGTCGGTCAGTCGGCCAGCCGTTGACTCCTTCCCCGTACCACAGCCACAGACAGGCCGAAGAGACTGTAGCCAAACTGAAGCGGGCCTGCAGGCGGTGCACTGCATTCATCCTCCCAGCGAGGCGCTTGTGTGTGCTAAGAGTTCCTAGCACTCAGAGTGTCTGCCTCCCATCGGCCCGCATATTAACCTGCCACGTATTCCCACAGCATCAGCAAAATGGCAATACAGTGAACCCTGTACAGCATTTGAAACCAATAATTTTGGGAAAACGTCAAAAGGTGTATGCGTTGGGAAAACGTTTGTCAATAGGTGTAGTGGTCGTGGGCGTCACGTCGCGTCATGTCTCATCATACACGTACTGACACACGTTTTGGTTGCCGCGGTATTTCGGCCGAGGTCGGGTCATACAGACCCAGGATCGAGCTTCCAAGCACAATAGTTTATTAACGACACGCTCGTAGCGAACACGGTCAACTAATAATAGCATATAGAGCAACTGTACTCGACAACTTCGCTATTGTGGCTACAAGGAACTACCAACGCAAACCGCAAGCGTCTATAGCATGGCTGTACTAGGTAGGTTTTGCATCTGAATTTCAGAGGTGAAGGAGCTCTAGTGAGAGCCCCCAACCGGAAGAGAGTGTAGGTATTGTAGAACTGCGGCAACGCTGAGGCCTGGCTACAATGGATAACGACGTTCATTGTAGTCCCTCAGCCGTACAATTCGCTATCAAAGTCATGGACACCACGAACCGGGCTAGTTGCATCAGGTAGAAGCCTTCCTCACCCCGGGTTTTATGGATTTGGATCCAAGCCCACACACCAGTCACCGCATTTGTTGCTGATGCAGCTTTATCATGCACCTTAGTGCGCTTGGAACCACATACACATACTGTCATACCGACAACCTAGCATACACCTAATGGCACGAGTTAACCGCTTTTGACAAAACGTTTCAAATTCATACACTTTTTGACGTTTTCCCAATAATTTTGTACCGACCATCATTCATGCGCGTGCCACACAAACGTTACACCACGAGGTGATGAGCCCATCCCCATTGCGTCAAATCCCTCGCAGAAGGTGGCCTCTCGGTTATTCTTGCTTTATCGCTGTCGAGCGAACTTCTCGCACTAAGCCGGTCTCCTACGTTCGCTCATGGCGGTGGACCTCGAGCTGTTGGCAGCAGAGGACGCCGACTTCCTGCTGGACGACTCGACCGCAAGCGACGCGCAGGCGCGCGGCGAGCCAGACGACGCCATGGCGGGCGTCTGGGGCGACCTGGAGGCGCAGGGCGGCGGAGGGGCCCAGGCCGCCGCCGCCTGGTGGGACCTGACGCTCACTGAGGCCAGCGCAGCGGACAAGAAGCCGAACGAAGGCCTGGGCCCCGTGGATCTGCTGCTGACCGAGCAGGAGGCAGCGCTCGCGGCCTTCGTGGAGCCGTCGCGCGCGAGAGAGACCATCTCGCCCGTGGCCATCGAGGCGAAGCAGACGCGCACTAAACTGGAAGCCAACGTTATGAGCAATGCGCTCGCCACCGCTGCCAGACAAGTTGAAGTGTCGGATGATTCGCAAACGGAGTCGGAGGCTAACGTCATCGCTCCCACGGCCTCAGCAACGCCAACGGCAACGGCAACTCGTGTGACTAGAAACTCAAACAAGAGCAAACAAAAGGCGCCAAAGGCAAAGGTATCAATAAAGTCTCCGGAGCAGAAGGTTGAAGCCGGCAAGAAGGACGCAAGCAAGAAGACGCCCAAGGTGCAACGCAAACGGAAACCCGCAGCAGCGAAAGTCCCCGCGGCTGCGGCAATAGCGAAGCAGGAAGTGAAGTTCACGCCGCTGGAGATCCGCCGCAAACGCAATCGAGAGTCCATGCAGCGTGCAAGACGTCGCCAGCGAGACGACGTGGAGCGGATGAAGTGCACGCTCCAGCAGCTGGAGAAACACTACCAGGAGCTGAACGAGAAGTCGCAAGCGAGACGTCGACGCGCGAGCAGCAGCAATAGCAACAACAGCAGCAGTGCTTTGGCGCTGGAGGCGGATTATTATGCGCTGGCGGATTTATCGCATACGCTCAAGGAGGAGAAGTTTTTGCTGGAGCAAATGCTCGTGGAGAAGCACAAGACCCACCGACGATTCCAGCAGGTGATGGTGGATCGCAAGCAGGAGCTGGAGCTGCAGTGCCCGCTCACCACGGACGACTCGACGCTGTACTCGGACTTTGAATATATCCGCATGACGGAGGACCAGGCGAACGAACACATACGCAACTGCTACCAGCAAATGCGGCTGATGGAGGAGACGGTGGTCTCGCACTACGAGGTCCCGGATGGCGACACATCGGAAGCCGAATCCCCGAGCTCTCCGACTTCTCCTGGCACTCCGGCACGCCCAAGTAAAGGCAGGCACTGCGTGTTCCCGCCCTCAGCGACGTTCGGGTGGGAAGTTCGTCATGAAGCGAATCCAGATGGGGACTTTTACGTGAGCTTCTCCAAGTTTTTTGCTGGCATCACACCGCAGGAAGCCATGATGGGCAGCTGGACGAGGTACGCCAAGCCCGAGTCGACACCGTTCCGCCGCCAACTGCGCTTTGAGATCTTGCAGGTCATCAACGACAGCACGTACATCGCTGGCTCGGATATTGAGCACCCCGTGCAACACGACAAGGTCATGCGAGTGATTTTCCTGAACTTCCGCATGCAAACGGACAAGGGCTTCGTAATAGGCCGTCACTCCGTGAACCCCACGTCACCTGAAGTTCGCGCGACGGCCGAGAGGGACTCGAACTTTGAGTACGTCGATAACTCCAACTGGGTGGAATTTTCTGCTGAAGAGGACGGCAACACCGGGGAGCCTGGGTGTCTGGTCAAGTTCATCGCACGCACGGAGTACAATACGCAGGAGGACATGTACGTTCGTCTCGTCAACTCGATTTCTCGCACTATGATTTGGGAGCAGGCTGTCGTGCCTTCTTCGTCTCTCTCCCTCCTGCCATCCTGATAGTGGCTCACGTCGGCGAGCTATTCCATCTCGTCTTCGTCTCGGTAGCCACCGACCAGCAATTTACTAGCTCATTCTGCTCGGTTGAGTCTGTCCCAGACGAAGAATCCATTCATTAGTCGAACCTGACGTTTTCTGGATAGGCACCACTGAATGCCATCCAGCTTGCGATTCAACTTTGCGTGTTCGCTTGGATGTTCACGCTTTCATTTTGTTTACGTTTTTAAGTAATGAGGCGAGTTCAACCCTCGGTGAACGTGAACACTGGGCCAATATTTAAGTTTTCCCAGCTAAGCAGTCCGAAGATGATGTCGACTGCAGCTTGGGTAGCGGCGGATTCTGTGGCATCGACGCTTATCCTGCCCGTGATCCGCACAACGCAGCACTCCTGATCTGATTCTGAGCGCGCAGCCTTGAAGTCTGTCCACAGCGACATATTCTCTGCCCAAATTTGTCCTGGCTGTTGCGACGGCTTCGTACTGACCGAGCAGTTGCCTATCGCGTAGCCTGAGTTCGTCTTGAGTCGGAACCGTAGATAGTATGAAGTGGTAACCTGCTCTTCCACTCTAATGCGCCTCCTGAACACGTAAGTGTCGTCGTTGATCACCTGGAATACAGTCATGGACTGTGTCGCTGCGTCTACCGGTTTGCGGTAACTCTGCATGGCCAGCTCGTTGTCCCATGTATGCTGCATTGACTGTAGAGCGGTCACGTGATAGAAGGGCTTTTCAAAGGAGAACAGCACCTCGTCGTTCTCTCGATGATGGCGCACCTGCCAACCCAAGAACGGAGGCATTGGTCGACTAGTGGGGTCCATCTGCCTCAGCGCTGCACGTTGTGAAATGGCCTGCAACGTGGCCGTCACCCTCTCGTGCGTCGCCCGGATGTAAGCCCAAACTTCCTCCTCGGTCAATGGGGTCCACGGATCGTGCGCACACTGGTCCTCGAACACGCATTTCCTCATACTGGCCTCTCCGTCCGTCAGGGGCTGGTGAAAATCGTCGTACACGCGCTCCAGCGTTTCCTGAAGCTTGTTCTTCTCGTGTAAGGCTCGTCTAAAGCGGAAGTTCTCGTCCTTTAGCCGCGCCCCCTCTTCGACCAGTTTGACGTACTCTGAAGACGCCACGTCCGAGGAGGCATCAAATGTAAAGCTCCGAGCTTGAATAGACTCGTTTGGCAGCTGTATAATGCCGCGGTTCACGGTCTCTTGGTATCGAGCCTCTAGACGATGCACAGTCTCGCGAAGCCTCTGCATGGTCTCCTGTAATTCCATCCAACACGCAAACACGTACGTCAGCTCAACTAGCGAGATTAGAAGAGAACGTCGCCTCCAACATCCACATACCCTCTCTTTCTGGCGCGCCAACCGCATTTGGTCTCGGTTCTTCCGCCTCCGTCGCGACCGCGGGGACAGTTGCTCGCTCGCTTGTTCGTCGTGTTTGGCCTCGCTGTCATCGGAGACCACCGGTGAGGACAGCGGCGTAGCCGCGCGGTCGTTCGGAGGGAGTTTCTCCTCGCCATCGCTCCGCTCTGGAGACTCCGGCGAAGCCTTTGTTCTGGCGGAGACGGCTTCTGATCCAATTGTAGGCGCCATCCGGCACAACTTCGTATGACCCAGCCAGAAGGAGGATTTACAAGCAAAGCGGAGGTCTAGGGTGGGCTACACTGAGGATAGGGACAGCCATCTCAAGGCGGCACGGGACCAATTTTGAACTGCTTATGCGCGTCCCCACCATAATTTGAGCGGCGTGGATTTGCCTGCTGCCATCCTGCTTTGGCGTGTTGCTTGTTGCTCATTGCCTGAAAACACCCCGCATTCCCTGCTATTTTCTAGCCGATAACCCGAAAGTTATCATAATAGGATATTAGCGAGGACAACTTGTCCTTACGTTGTGGAAATACAGTGTAGGAGTTGTTGTACATGTAGCTCAATAGTAGCTTTGTTTATGATAAACCTCTTCGAGCGAATCTGCAGTGCTCGTGCTCAGACCCACACGCAAATCACCACTGCACGATGGACACGTTAATAAAGGCGGCGTACCGCTCGGGTACATGTAGGCAGCGCTGGGCGAAAGGTGACGCTCTTCGCGGCCAGGCGATGACGTCCTCGCCAAGGAGGAACCCAAAGCTTGAAATGACCACTCCTCGTGGGTTGTCATTTAACGCTGCATGCTAATTCAAGGTAGTTCTTCACTTAGCAATCACTCAAGGATCGTAATTGCAGTACTGAAGGGGAAATCTGCATTATCAAACCAATTGCACTGCTTGAAAAAGATTAACGTTTTAGATGTTCTACTCTGTAGTCGTCAACGATACTCACTCGTTTGAGATACGGCCTTGCTAGCGACGTCCTCCAAGTAAATCGATCTGCAAGTCAATCCTGAAGAGTGGGGGCGTCAGAATATCCTGCGTCCACTGACTCATGAATCGTAGCATTTGTTGAGTTGAATAGTGCGTTCTCCCGGCCGTGGCAGATGTCGAGGAATCCTCGAGTAGGATACATGTTGGTCTCCCAAAGCATGAAGGACGACACTTTCTTGTCGAAACCGACGTCTGCCAGCTTGAGAGATCCGCGCGGTGAGCTGTCCACGGTCACATGTTCGCCTTGGCATTGACTCTCCGTGTAGAGTGCAATCTGTGATGAGTCCTTCAACGCCAACCAGGAAGCGTAAGAGCCCTCGTTGCTGAAGCACGAGTCCAACGAGTAGCAGCGTTGCGCTATGTCGAACCGGAAGTTCCTGTAGCTGTTGCCTGCACTGAGTGCGAGCTGGGTCTTTGCCGCCTGACAGGAAAGACCAGAAAGCACTGACAGCAGCGCTAACAAAGCTGGCAAGTGTACCGTCGTCATCAGCTTCTTGCTTGGTTGTGAGAAATTGAGAATGGCCCGACGCAGAATGCTGCCGACCAATGCACCTCCGGATATGAGGTGCTAGATTTAAAGGCCGGTTTGTTCGCTCGCTCGTTCGATGCGCCGAATATATTGTTCCACATTGTCTGCTTCTTATAGAATGTTACTTAAACGTGTGCACGAATTGTGAGGTTTGTACATTATCAATGTATGAATTGTATTGTGGCCCAACTAATTGGGTTAACATCAAATTTGTTCTACTCATTTCACAACTATCGGCCTAGTTGGCCGGTGGTGCATTTACGTAAATGAAGTACGCGCTTTTAGGCGCTAATACTGTCAGGCGCGCCATTGATCGTGCCCTTGACAGATGCATCCACTTGAATTCCCGAGAACGTCCAGTCAGAAACAACGTTGGGGTTCACCTTGATGTCGTACAGGTTCGTAGCCGTGCCGGTGAGTCCAGACACCGTCACACCCGTGATCTGCGCCTGACTGGTGGGTGCACCAGTGTAGCCTCCTTGCTGCTTGCTGTAGTCCGCGCGCACAACGACACCGTTCTTGACGTTCGATAAGTCGTTATCGATGAACTTTACGTCGGTAACAAGACCCTTGAGCCCGATAATAGTCTTAATGCGGAGGCCGTTGTCGCTGTCGATGATGTGGTTGCCCTCGGCAGTGAGACCCTGGACCGTGGTCGTCTTGTCAACCGTGTTCCCGCCAAGAGATCCGATGGAGATACCATGGCTGTTGTAGCAGTAATTCTTGCTGAAGATAGTGTTGGTGCTGGACTGCATGGCAAGGCAGTCGTCCTGGTTGTAGATCGTGTTACCCGTGATGGTAATGTGGTCGTTGCAGCTCAGGTCGAAGCCGTCCGTGTTGGTGGCGACACCGTTGCCAGCCTTGGAATCTAGGGTGAGGCCGCTGAGAGTCGTGTACTCCGAGTCAACAATGCTGAACGTGCGATACGGCGAGTCCTTGACGGTGAAACCGGACAACGTTGAGTGGATGACCTTGTGCACCTGGAAGAAAACCGGGCGGGTGGTCGCCTGGCCCTGCTTCCAGTACCAAGGACCCTGCCCGTCCAGCGTGCCGTCGCCCTTAACTGTAAGCTCCGTTCCGCTAAGCGTCACAAGAGGTCCGTTCCACTTCTGTGTTCCGAACGTGGTTGTGCCCGTAAATTCAATGGTGGCTCCGTTCTTGGCGCCGCTCAGATCCAACGTCACGCCAGCAGGAACAGTAAGAGGACCGACGGTGACAGTGCTGCAGGACGAAATGTCCGTGCCCGTCTTGTAGGTACCAGTCAGGATACAGTTGCTACTGCTAGTCTGCTGCTGCTGTTGTTGCTGTTGGCTGCCTTCGTCCTTTTGCTGTTGTTGCTGCTGGCTTCCTTCGACTTGCTGCTCCTGTCCTTGTTGTTGCTGTTGCTGACCGTGCTTGGCGCCGTCGGCTGCTTGGCGCATCACGGGCGAGCCATTGACAATTGCCGCCAAAAAGGCAAAAGTAGCAATCGCCGCGGTCAGCTTCATGATGATGCTTGGGCTTTGGCTTTGTGGCTTTGTTGGTGTGCTTCTCTTGAGGCGAATTTGAAAGTGAGGGCTAGGAGTGCCGCTCGATGAGGCAGACACTGGCTGCTTCGTATGGCTCGCGTGATCAAGGAGGCTAGCCTAGAAGGATCTAACATGGCGCAACACCGACTTGATGAAGGCTGAGCCGATCCACTTTATTCGTGCAGACGACTACCGTACATTCAGACTTGCATTGACACGTCGCCTGCTGCGTTCAATTCGACCCGGATGCATCGAAAAACGTGGACAGCCAGCGGCTTGGTGAAGTTGCCACTGCACGATAATACATGCAGGTATGTAGTCTGTGGCTTTAGCTAAGAAATTAAGACATACGGAAGCGAATGGTGTGCTGTTGTTTCTGTATTAAACTGTACACGTGCACGCGTTGATTACTTTTTAAGGTTGTCAACACAGGAACAAGTGTTTCTTCGGAAAGAGGCCCCGCCTCACCTCGTCGTGCCGATGAAGTCCACACGCAGGGCTAACGGGTTCTTCCGATTAAAGTACCCGGTAGATTTTATTTGTGATCGTATACGGAACTGATCAGATCGGAACAGGTGTCTTATCTTGGTTTTTGTATGGCCAAAACATATTACGGCAGTGAGCAGTTACGAGGAGCGTAGCCATAGCAAACCCGCGCGGGGTGCCCGCGAAGCAGGTGCGGAGGCGGGCCCAGCGGCGAGCATTCCAGCGAACAGACCCGTTGCCGCAACTCGGAGTTAGTTTTCTTTATGCGAGAGTCTGGGGTGCAACCCCAGAACACCTACTAGGAGATCTGTTCAAGTCTCTGATCAGTTCCGTATACGATCCAATCCGGAAGTCCTGGAACATGGTATATTATCGCCTAGATACCAAAGCCAAGTATATTGATTTCCCATTAGTACACTCTCCTATTATATTACCCCTTTTTCAGGGTATACTATTACTATAATACCGGTACACTAATCCGTTATTTTATTTTAATACTAAGCCGTGCTAAAGCACGGAGAAGCTCTGGATTTTATCATGTAGTTTTGATTCTAGGTTTGATTCTAGGTTAATTTATCTTAAATGTGCCTAGCAGCTCTGCCCGAGGTTCTTTGGTTAGAGCGAAGTAGCCTTAAATTTCAGCAGTTGGTGTTTTTGTCTTTATTCGGATTTGCTACCAAGTTCCGAAACCATGAAAGCATGCACTGGCAACTATCTCAAGCCCTTACGCGAGCATGTACTGGTCACTCGCTATACCTTAGCTATCTTGCAATAATATGCAGACAACGTCAAGGCTTGAATGCGGCGGTAACGGTACGTATGCACATGCAGAATGGTTGAAACGAGACCAGCATCGTTTGAAGACTTCAACGACACCCACGACTTTAAATTGAAGTCATGGGTGTTCGTGGGTGTCGTTCCATGACTTGAACGTGGTGACACCGATGTAACATCGTTGAACATACATGTACTGCAAACACAACTGTAGTTATGTTTGGAGTCATGGTCGAGCGAAATCCGATCGATCGTGTCACGCGAATGTCGACCCTAAAAGACTCAAGCAACACGCCGCTGGATAATATAATATCCAAGCGTTTATTAAAGTTAACGGGTACGTTCCGATACGTTAATGATTCGTTCGTTTATAACCGATAGCGGAACATGCATTTTTATAGTGATTTGCACCTGCAGTCTAACAACTCTGGATAAAATCCAGAAAACACACTTCGTTTCAAAATGGAAGCATGGCCCCACAGTGAAGGCTGTTCCAGCCTTCACAAAGATAGCTCGAAACTAGACTTGGTTTGAGTATGGACGGGACTGCGGACATCTTCAACCCACGGACTTCTTGTTAATTTTCGAAAAGAAGAGCCTAGTAGTTATACAATATTCAAGTGTACAACGATCAATGGCTGTGTATAAAAGTACGAAGCTAGCCTGGTCTCTGCTCATGCCGTTTTCAACTTACCTTTTGCAGTTGAAAGACTGTAAACCTAAACAACCGTAGCAAATTTGAGTTGTTTATGATTATAATCGATATGCACGCTGGGAACAAAAGAAACGATTTGAAAGGAAATTAAATATAGGGGTTGAATACATTGTAATATTCAGCAATTTTGCCGCCAGACTTGATGTGTTATCTCGGAGTCTGATTTACCGAAAATGGAGCTCCTACAAGATAGGTAAGTCCGATTTAGCTATATCTGACTTGAGTTGGAAGCATAAGTCTCAAAGAGGAGGCATTTTAAGCTGGTCATACCTACCCACATCTAATACATTGGGGGCTATAGTACGCGTATTTATCCATTTCATGGCACTATGGTCAGCTATAGCTCTTGCGTCACCATCTACAGCAACTACAACAATATACCACAATAATATGATAGGGCCTTATCAATGCTTTGGCAGTGGTCACTTTTGCCGGCGATAAGCGAAATTTCTCGTCGCTTCTTCGCAACTCGGAGCCCACAGCCGCAAATCGGGCCCGGTGTATCGGATCTTGGACCACGCAATTTGCTAAAACGGATGAAAGCCACAATATTGGGTAACAGTTATAGCTGCGTACAAAGTTAGTGGTATATCACATAAGAAAGGGTATTGGTAAATACAGGGGCTCCCTCAGCCACGTGTTTGGCTGCGGGCCGTTGGTCGGGATATAACCAGCACTTCGCAATCTCCCCGCCAGCCCCAATCAGCTCTTCCCTCTCCCCCTTCGCTCTCTGCAGGGCCTTCTTGTATCAGTGGTAGCACTTGTTGGGCTAGACTCGACATTCATGGCCCCTGCCGATCCCACCGTTGTAAAAAGAGCTAATTACGTACAAAACACCATGATAAAATATCTGATTTTGTTGTGTTTACGTAATTTACGTCCAAATTGATAAGTATCTTCATTCTCTGTGCGCATTCTAACAGTTATATTTATGTCTCATCTTGTCAGAATTCGGTTAATATGCTGAAATTATACTGTATTTTTGTTAACTGCGACATTTCTGGTGTCCTATTTTGTGTTTGTAATAAATAGTAAAATAGTACTGTAGTACTACTACTATAGTATTAAAGACGGGCTTACGAGCGAATGCACGAGTGCTAGTACATTTTGTATTATACTGGGATAGGAAGCGAGGAAGTGCTGATAGCCCAGCCCAAACAGGATTAATTCGGGCACTGTCTGCTGCCCCCCCCCGTCGGTACAAACTGGTCATGAACCGGTAGTTTTAAGGTTGATACTGACGATAATGATGGCTGACGAGAATGATCGTTTCCATTTGAGAATCGCTCGTGCTTCGTGCTAATAGCCGGGCAGATGCTGCGGCTGCGAAGCAGGCGCAGGAGATGTTCATGGTTCGTACATTATCGAGGTACCTTTTGATTATTTGTCCTGTGTGTATCTTCTTATGCAATATATAACAAGCACAAGCGTGCTCAGGCTTGCTTTTCAGTTTGGGGCTCGGTGTACGCCACAATGGACGAGTAAGCACACCCGGTGAAGTGACTTTCATGATTCTAACCATTGTTATCATGTACCTATCCCAGCCTTAGGGAAGCCCTAGTACTGATGGTCTACTATAGTATTTCGGAAGAAAATCATCATACTGGCAATCCCTTGCTGCCGGTGATCGCTGGTACTGCGATGGAGAAAACCGCATCGGGATGGTTCCTGTTCTGGGCCTCTCGGACCCCAGTGGAGGAGCAAACGTGGGGTCAGTTTACCCACGACGCCCTTGCGCACTTTGAAGCGTCGAACTACGAAGAGGTGCTCCGGCAGAAGCTTCGTCAATTCTGCCAGACCGGTGACATTGAGGAGTACAATGGGAAGTACCCGTCGTTGATCTTTCGTATTGAGAACATGATCGAAGTCGACCAAGTCAGGTACTACTGCGACGGACTCAAGCGCACCACGCAGGTTTACGTCAAGCTACAGAACGCCACGACGTAAAGTGAAGCAATGGACCAAGCCTGCAAGTACGAGCTGTCCCACATCGCCGGATCGCGAGAAACCAGAGTGTGATCAACGGTTCCATGGGTCGCAGCAAAACAAGAAGCCGTTCAGCAGACAATCCTACAAGTCTGGTCACTACGCACCTGCAGAGCGAACCAACGATGGCCCTGTGGGTTGCCAATGCAACAAGCCTGGACACTTCAAGCGCGGCCGCAGTACTAAGCTGAAGGGTGAGCAGGAAAACGACGAGCCACGCCAGTAGAAGAGGGATCTGACGTGGCGAGCGCTAGCGAAGAAGGTTTAACTGTAAACGCAGCTACGCTGAATCTACTTTGTGAAGACGCTTTCGTCTACAATCGCGCACCATTGTTCGCCGTTGAAGGGAACATGGAGCAGCGCGAGAGCAAGATTGGCGCCGTGGTTTTGCTGAATCACGGTGCTACGACTGGCTATGCGTCACTATCCTTTACAAAGAAGAAGATCACTGTTTGTCTCGATGGTGTCCCAAACTACCAGTATGTCGCTGTCGTATTCTACATTCCCGATGGGTTTGATTGTGCTCTTGGGATGCCGTTTTTCGCGGATGTACAACCGGAGATCGACTGGAAACGTCGATACTTCAAGATGGATGACTCCGTTGCAGCCTCAGTGGTGGGAACTCCGACCCCCAGCGGGAAGTGCAGTCTGACAATAGGTATCGAGCTTCACAATGCTGCAGCCAGCGAAAGCTCGCGTACAATAAGCCATGATTCTTGTCGAGCCGTCGTGCCAGAAACACCGTTGGAGGGCGAAGTCGAAGTCAATGAAAGACCGACTGATGTCGCGGAGAAATTCTCTAAGCGGGGGAAGAAGAATGCCAAGGTTGAGGCAATGTTCACTCTTGGAGTAGTCGACTCGGAAGGAGCCCAAACGAAGTACATCGCGCGAAAGAAGCTACGGAAGTTTCTACGCCTACCTGCAAGGACCAGCCGGAACACGATTTCATGATTGCGCTGACAAACAACACGATCAAGGCTATTCAGCGCGACGTCAGGCGACGTGACGAACCTGACCATGTTGGAACGAAGAAAGCCAAACCATTTCAACAAACCGATTGGGAATCGTTCAAGAAGAACCCCGCGTACCCCGTCATTGTTGTGTACAAGGACAGTGTGTTTACGCCCGAACCGCCTGACAGACGGCCGATGGAGCATGATATTGATCATCATATCGATGTGAAGGACCCGAACGTCGCAATGTACCGGCAGCAGTGGAAACTCTCACTAGACCAGAAGGCCGAGATCGACAGCTGGGTGCAGGAAAGGATCGCTAAGGGATTCATTCCGCCGAGCATCAGTCCTCCTGCAGCTGAGTTCGTAAATCTGTGGGATGGCGCATCATACACGACTATCGGTATTTAAACAGCCACACGATCCGTCAGAGCGTATTGATGACGGGTAATGAGGACGTTTTCGACAGTACGGGAGGTGCCTACTACTTATCGAGCATGGACTTGATGTCAGCGTACTACCAAGCGCGGATGAAGATGGATCACGTCAAGTATACAGCTTTCCAACCACCAAGTGGATTGTACGAGTATCTGGTGTTACCGAGGGGAGTAAGCAATGCACCAGCGACGATGCATCGACTGACTTCTTCATTGCTCAAGGGCCTCCCACACACACGTTCGTTCTACGATGATATCTATGTGTTCACGAAGTCGAAGGACATCAACGAGCACCTGCCCTCTCTTCATGACGTGTTGGAGATTTTGAAGAAGAACAAACTGTATGTGAAGCTCTCCAAGTGTGTTTTCTGTGCGGAAAAGATTCCGTGTCTGCGTGATTTCATCGGGCGGAATGGGTTTCGCATTGATCCGGACAAGGTACAGCCTATCGGCGTCTGGCCTGCACCATGAACCACAAAACAGATTCGCGGTTTCCTCCGTCTGACTGGATACATACAGCGTTTTTGTGAGCGGTACCCAGAGCTTACGGCTCCACTGTTCACGTGGATGAATCAGCGGAATTCGAAGACCTCTTTAAATCCCTTTTAACGCGGTACAGCTGCAGAACTTCAAGGTGTTGAAACGCCGGTTGTCTGACCCTCAAGTTCTGCACTTACCTCCAACTTTACGCGGCATATGCATCTGTGCACGGACGCGAGTCAGTATGCCGTTGGTGGTATGTGGAGACGGATCACAAGTCACTTGAAGGTATTTTCCAGCTGAAGATGGCGAATCGGCGCCTCGCGCGATGGTATGGTATTCTGGCTGAGTACTAACCGTGTTTGCGGATCTCCCAGGCGCTGAGAACGGAATCGCTGACGCTCTGAGCCGACGGCCTGGAGACGGAGAATTTCCACGATTTGCTCGTCCCCAGTTTCAACGATACCATCTACCAGCTACGTGATATGGAGACCAAGCCTAACGTCGATCCGATCAAGGCGATAATCGCTGGATGCACAAAGGACAAGGTTATCGGGGACATTCCGCGCGCGATCAAAAGGCGTGGAACTGCGTCAGTAGTGTGAGGGGCATCGGAAAAGCAGTACAAACCTTACTTCGAGGCGAAGAACCTGATCTGGTACCAAGGCTCTACAAACGAGCAACCTCGTATCGTGGTCCCAAACATCGTGGCACTCAAGCACCGTATCATCGCTGAAGCGCCCGATATCAACTACGGTGGGCATCCCGGTTCCGACCGCACGTACCTGAAGCTTCGCTTGGACTGGTATTGGCCACGCATGGTGCTTACGATCAAGAAATACATTGTACACTGTGAGGACTGTCAGCGTAACAAACCGCGGTAGACGAAGACACCTGGACTCCTGGAACCATTACAAATTCCGGATGAGCGGTGGCGATCCATTTCAATGGACTTTATTACGGACCTACCGGAAACCAAGCGAGGACGTAACTCGATTTGGGTCGTTGTTGATCGGCTCACCAAGTGGACACATACCGCATTGCAACGACGAAGAAAGTTTCAGCTCGCTCAAGAGGTCGCAGCTGTTTATCAAAAATATTTGGAAGTTACACGGTATGCCTCAAAACATTGTGTCAGACCGCGACACGAAGTTTGTCTCTGGATTTTGGAGTCAAGTGTTTGAGAACGTTGGTACCAAACTGAAGATGACTGTAGCATATCGCGCTCAAGGCGATGGACAGACTGAGAGCACCAATCGTACGCTCAAAGAGTACCTGCGTTGTTTCGTGTCACCGCGTCAAGATGACTGGGATGTACATCTCGCGAACGCTGAGTTTGCCATCAACTCTGCGGTCAACTTCAGCATCAATATGTCACCATTCGAGGCTGACATTGGATATGTCCCTCGTAACCCACTAGTAGCCGTAGCAGCAACCAATCGACTTGGCCTGCGCAGAGGTCGACGTCAAGGCGTCAAGTTCACTGATCACCCAGAAGCACTCCTTCGTCAATGTAAAGAGGCCCTAGAGGATGATTAAGCGCGGATGGCAGGTGCGTACGATCGTGGAAGAACGGAGAAAGTGTTCAAGGTCGGCGATCAAGTCTACCTGAGTACAAAGCTCTTGGATATAGCCCACACTGGCTTTACGAACCCCCGCAAGCTGTCCTAAGTGGATCGGCCCGTATTTCGTCGTTCATACCGTCCCCAAGCACGCATACGATACTAACTTGCCACCTGGAGTCAAGCTGCATACTGTGTTTAACACTGGGTCACTCAAACCCTACGGCCCTCACTTGTCTCTCGCGGCCGAGCCAAATGATTTTGCATGACGGTACTGTTGGACAGATCGTGGAAGTGATTGTGAGCAAGCGCAAGCGCCTCAGCACCATACAGTACCAGGTAAAGTGGGTGGGTGAAGAGAAGCTCACATAGGAACCCCTCGAAAACCTACACCAAGTAAGCGACCTAGTTCAAGAGGATGAAGTGAAGCGCCAAAACCAACCGCGACAACGAAGGTGAAGATAAGCTTCTAGCGACAGGACTGGATATATTTCGCGGTTTTAACTTCAAGGATCCAGATAAAAGTTCAAGAAATACAAAAGCCAAGATGAAAATGAAGTCATACAATTATCAAGTTATCCTGTAGCCTTGCTGCAATTAGACCGTCGCCCTAGCAAATCAGGACACGGCACACAAATCGAAGTTGGGGAAGCCACGAGAACGCATACTTGAGCAGGGGCATCTGGGCGACGTTGTCGTCCGAGGCGAAGCATCCAGCCGTGGTCACCTGAAGCATGAACGCGTGAGGCTTGCGCTGGGGGCCCGCCAGGATGCCGGCGCAGAGGTACACCTCGGGCGTTAACATCAGGTGCTCCAACGCGAGGCAGGTCTCCACACCAGACAACCGGAACTGGGTCTGGCTGACGCGAAGTGTCTTCACAGTGCTACGGGCGCCCAGCACCACGAGCAGACAGGTTAACCTGCCGAATGAAGGACGATAAGGGGGACCACACGACACCCTCCGACGCGATCGCGTTCCCAGCAACAGCGCGTGCGCGGTAAAAGTAACCGACGATATCATCGAAACACTACGCAGGAATCCCCAGGGTATCGACAGCATGAGCGAGCGCATGGAACGTGCAGCGGCCATCTCCGCAGGCAGGCCGAGAGAGCGCATACTCGCCGAAATTATCGTACCAGCTGCCGCCTTGTAGGCGTCGACAAGCTCAAGATACTCGGCGAAACCATCTTCTTCGAGCAACCATCGAGGCTGCCAAGATCCCTCGGTCTTGCCTATGGACACGATGTAGTCGACATAGTACCGTGAGACACGAAACATTTAAGTCCCCAGTCGATCCGAGATGGTCCAGACGTACCACCGAGCGGTCGTCGCAGCTGCACGGCTGGAGGTCTTCCGCGCAGCAACACGGGCCAGAAATCGTCGAGGCGTTCGGCCTCCGGTCGAGCGTGCAGCCGTTTGCTTCGTGCGTGCAATACCAAGCTCTCGAGGGAGTGAGCGGTTGCGCAGGACTGGAACGCAGGAAGCAAGCAGCCACTCCGCCTTGACGGTGGCTTCGCCGAGGGGTTGAAGGAAATTACAGACTGAGGCGACGCGAAGGAAGGGCAAGATTAATATGCGTGAAGGAGCGGCCAACGATAAGAGCTCGCCGAGGACGAGCAACGAGCAACGGCTACCCCAGGACGAGCCGCGGCACCTCGGCGAGCCGCAGCAACTCGATTTTAACTTCAACGGACACATTCAGCAGGTATGAAAGGACTTCAATTGGTGGAGGGATGAGTGTTGCAGTTATTGCTGCGTACCAAGTTAGTGGTGTACACATCAGAAAGGGTATTGATAAATATAGAGGCTGCCTCATCCATGTGTTTGGCAGCGGACCGTCGGTCGGGCAATGACCAGCACTTCGCAATCTCCCCGCCAGTCCAACCCTCCTTCGCTCTCTGCAGGGCCAGCTTGTATCAATTGGTATTGTGCATATCAAACAAACAGGTATGCTGGGGTATAAATGATGGATGTTTGCAAATGACATACAGATTATAAATTCAGACTAATTCAGGTTACCCAGTGTGGTCAGGGTATTTGCAGTTTTCAGGACTGAACATACGTCCGTAGTAAGGCTAGGAGAACAAATAGATTTCATTGTACAGGCGTCCAAAACAATAGTTAAGAACACTTAACCATTGTAAATAAGTTCAAATGAATACTGGAGGGGCAATAGTGTTTGGCCTCATTTTCCATCCTGGAGTGTGACGAGGCTGAGTGGGGTTTTGCCCCATCGGTCTGTCTTAGTACCAGTCCTTGCATACGGAAAACAGCTTCGTATACGCAAAGGCGGTCTCGGTCCTGACGAAGATGAATGCTGTTTATACGAGTGCGAAGCGGTGTAATGAAGTCCAAACGTGCCAAAAGACACAAGCGCCCAACCACCGAAGCGAAGCTTGTATGTTCCATATGTGACAACGAGCAACTCACCATTTTGACCTACCACTGTTCGTGGTGCTGCTCGAAAAAGCTTTCGCGAAGTTGAGATGATTTCGACCGAGACGTCGCCACTATCAGCGAGCAGTCCAGCACTATGAGCTCATTTTGATGTTCGCCAAAAGGTTTGGTGAGCGATGTGCCAAATGTCGCGCTTGCGACTGCCGCTCAAGTGTATTCTCCGTAGACCCCCAGCGGAAATCATCGCATTAGCGATCCACACACATACCGGGGTGACGTAGAGATCCTTCCTTCGATGACAGGCGCTATAGGTATCCAAGACGAAGGCGGAGCCAGAAGTTCACGAGGAGGTGCGTGTTGAGGAGCAGAAGAGTTGATTGTAGGCCATGAGAGGTTGCCGGGAAAATGCGTGCGCAAGGTGGATGTGCAACGATAACTGAAATTAAATAAACAACCGTAACAACAAATAAAATAAAAAAAACGATTTGTTAAAACATTCTTGTCCGGCCCGCTTCAGAATGACAGTTTCGGTTTATGAGCGATATTATCAAAGCTACATCTCATCTGTAAGAATTGAGCACACCGTTGAATAGCTCTCAGTGGCGCGCAGAGGTGAGTATTTTTCTTATTTGCCTAGCAGCAGAATCAAGGGAGCAAGCCCTGCTCTTTGGTGCCTCTTTCCAAAGGTCATTAGGTTTTTTATCGCAGTTCAGTCAATTTTTAGCGATATTACACCGAAGGTTTAGGTCACGCAGACCAATACGTTGTTAATTGCGGGGCCAAGCCATTGACAGTAGAACAAAGCAGGGATGCGTCCAGTTAAAAACAAAAGTAAGGTTTATTGCTGCAGTCCCAGTAAATAATGTGTACCCACACGTTAATTTGACCAATCCACGTGGACCAACTAATTAGGTACGGAATTCGGGAACTGTAAGGGTGGAATTGAGATTAAGCGTACAGCTGCATGTACCCGGCCGTCACCGCATCCGTTGCGACCACTATCGACATGGACATCCGTCCACCGACTGCTACATGCTTACCCACTCGCTGCAGTCTGAAGTCGTTTTCCCCACCACTCCGTAGAATAGCCTCCATCACCTTCTGTAGGGTGACAAAACACTTATCCAGTGTTTGCCACGGAAGCTCGTCAAACGCTGTTGTCACTGCGACGATGAGACTATTGGTATATCCATCCGTTACTGTAACGCTTGAATTGGTTCAAAGTAGCCCAAATTAAGAACGGTAACCTCAGGTGATCGAGGTGGCTGGCAGCGCATCTTAATCTTCCACCCCTCTACTCTCCCTGCTGCCTCCAACTCGACGTCATTGTCGAGGACATGCGGTCTCGCGTTGTCTTGCTGGACGAACTACATACATAACATGACATTTTTTGTTAGTTGAATCCATGAGCAGTCGATAATAAAAAAACAATTACCTGACATCTTGGCTCTGATAGCAGGAAAACTTTTTCAACAAGAAATTGCCGATAAAGTGGACGTGGCATTGTCACACATTTCGTGACTGCGGTACCTCTAGGCCTATTAACGGAGTTGCGAAGAACCTCTGTTACTTCCACGATAGGCCAGATTCCTAACTTACCATCACAATATTTCTTGCGACGGCAGTCGTAGCGCTGACGCGCTACAACTGCCAGAGACATAACTTTACCTATGTACTTTTTGTTTGGGCACGAACGGTAGGAAAGCTGCTCCGTAGTCGTCAAGTAGTATCTTGTAGCCCCTTTGTAGAGGTTGAACCACTTTTCATCCACATGCACCGTGTCGTACATGTGATGCGTGCGGTAACTGCGGCCACCTATAATACACATTTTTTAAAAACATTCCAGCCAATTAAAAAAATGAACGTGTTGATGGACCAAAATAATATCAATTGAAGTTAGAACTAAATGATAGCAAAACAAACAACGATCGCGTCGCTCTTGTACGGTGTCTAGCGGCATGTCCACGTGGGATAACGCCCACTGTAGACGTCTCAGCTTGTGGGCAGCGGTGACTGTCGGCTTCACGCGCGACGCAGCGCGGCGAAGCGATCCGTCGGCAAGGTAGCGCTGAAGTGTTGTCCTCGGGATGCCGCTCGCTACAGCGAGTGCCCGCTGTGTCTGGCGTTGACACAGCAGTACAGCTTGTACCAGCTGTGCCACCGCCTTGGGCGTCAGCCGTCGTCCGCGCGGAGCCACCATCCGCCTCGGAGCCGCCAAGGTCCCGACATCGTGTCGATTGCGCCAAAGGTTCTTCACACTGTTGCGGCTGACCCCAAACGCAGTCATTGCAGTGAGAATAGCTCCGCGGAGAAGCGTCCCGCGAACGCTCCGCTCCGCAAGGAAGAGCACGACGCGCAGGCGGGTTGCGGGCGGAATGTCAGCTTGACCGGTGGCTCTAGGCATTTTGGTGCTTGTCGATCGTTGGTGGGCGAGGGAAGGAAAGGTAAGTGAGAGCTGGTCTCGAGCGAGTTAGCCTGCATGATGCCGTTAATTAGTGGACAGCACCTTTCTTTATCTTTACCCAATCCGGTCAATCGTTCGATTAATTACGATCTCAGAAAAACCTCAACTGTCATTTTGAAGCGGGCCGGAGAAGTATCCAGTAAGATAAAATTGGGAAATGTTTGGTTCCTAAATCTGTAGTTATAGATAGAACGGAAGAGAGATCAGGAACGGTGGTTTCCGAGCGCGCCAGTGCAACTCCCCACCAGTTCTGATCTCTCTCCGAGCCGAGCTACCACCTTCCGCCCCCCCCGCCCCCCCCACTTCTGTCGTGCCCGCTGATCAGCGCTATGGCGCCTCCGAAGCGTTCTACCAACAAGTCGACGAAGCGTCCGGCTACGACAACACGGACACGGGCTGGTAAGATGTCATCAAAGTCGAAGAAGCCGGAGGCTACAACTCGAGTATCGACATCAGCCACTACTCGCCGATCTGCGCGTTCAACCAGACAGGCGACTGATCCAGGGCCAAGTGCTCGTAGCGAGGCTAGCGCAGCGGTGCAAGGCAGCTCCGGAAACGATTTACCCAGCGGGGGTACGGAGCCGGTCCTGCAGGAACTGAGCGAACTTCCAGTCCAACCATCCCGTACACAACAGCGAGTTGCCCCCACGGGCTATACAGAAAACGACTCGACCGAGACGGATTACGTGCGATCTAATATGGACGCACGCCGCGATTTTGATTGCGCGAGCTACTATCGAGTGCAAGCCATTCAACGCATGTACCTCCGTCTGAACTATCAGCGCTGGCTCAAGAGTTAGGCACCATGCGGGCTGATATAGCGGCACTGAGATCAAGACCAGTGGCACTTCAGCCATTGGAGCGCCCCCAACACCCACAGCGCCTGCGACCATAACGGAATTAGTGTCCGAAGTGGCGTTGTTACGTGCCGAGTTAACCGCGCTAAAGTCAGGCACGGCGGTGTCTACTTCGCCAGCGTTGGGCCATATTTCCGCCCCTCATGGCCCGGTCCAGGAGCGAGTCGTACTCCCTGACCATGACGGCCAACTTCCACCAGCACCGATCAGAACGATTACTAGCGCGGACTTCGGGGCATGGACCAAGAAAGCCAAGTCGGAATACAACCCGCCGCCAATGCACGTGACAGCGGCGCACAGAATGTTTCCCGGTATGACCAACAGTACGTACGCTTACCCTTGTTCACTACTTCATACGGTAAGCACGGACGAAGCGATCCAGTTCGACAAGTCAGAGGCGATCCTCATGGCTTTGGCCAGCGGCCAAATTAGACGCGATGGCGCGTGCATCCTTCATTTTGAACAGTCCTGTGCATCCAACTACGCTGCCAAAGTGAAACAGCGTCGGCTTCTTGCAGACTTCAGTGGACATGCAATGCTTCCTGTGATCAAACGATTGGAACCTGGCCAACAACCACTCACGTATGCTCATCTTCTTTTGGGAATTGAAGGTCTGGGGGTCTTTACCAGGCGCTACTGCTTCGATTTTATTAACGAAATGGTGAATCGGCTCCGCGATTTTGTCGCCAACAACGCTCAGCATGATGAACGTGCGACTTTACCGCGTGTGATGCTGACACTTCACACCGTCGATATGTTTTTGTCCCGGGCGCTCAACCACCTTCGCAGCGATAGTCCGTCATGGTGGGCTAATTTCCGCGCAGAAGTTCAAAGAATGGATTACAACTCGACCGAATGGGTGCTACTACCCTCCTCACTGCTCACGTCGACGCCAGCGCACCAAACCACGGCGGCAAGCACGACAGACCACCAGGTATCGCCAAGGGCGAACTTCAAGTCAGCCCCACGACAGCGTCCTCGAGATCAAACCAGTTACGAACGGCTACGAGGTTTTCCTCCAGACATCGCGGCACTTGTTCCTCGGGTCAATGGGAAGGAGCCCTGCCTCCGGGTTTTCTCCGGTCATGGATATTATGTCAAGGGCAAGTCGTGTGGCAACGGTAAAAGGCTTCACTCGTGGTAAACACCACTTCCGGACGCTCTGGTAGAGTATATCAAGACATACTTTGCTCCTAAACCAGCAGTCCCTACTAATAAGTGAAGCTGCCCAAGGCCCTCTCGTCCGTGGGGGCCTCTGGGAAACGTAGATGCTGCAATTATGAATACATCTATAAACCTTTCGGCAGCATCCAACGGACCAAACACTCCCGGGTTACTACCTCGTTCAGCTCCTAAGGTGCTACTACACCCGGGTGAACGAAGCCCTGATTTCCCAATCACCCAACTTCCGGAGGGCGGGGCGGTCTCTCTACCCAACAATCACGATTGTTCCGCCGCATCCAGGACAACAATCACGAATGTTCCGCCGCATCCAGGACACGGCATCAGGCTCACAGTGCAGCTTTGATGGCATCTTGTCATGATTGTGCTGAGCCGCCTTCATTATGGACGAATCACGCGGCAGTGAGATCGAATTCATCGCGTATCAATTCCCCGGTAACGTTTTCATCATCTTCCACAAGCCAACGCTGGGAATCCCACACAGCCAAAATGTGGAGTTTATCTCTACAACGAGCGAAGACATGGACCGAGATTCGTCGACAAAATCTCAACAACGCTCTGAACAAAGTGGGCTTATCGCTGCCAGTGCCATCAGAATCATCATTACCTGCGATCATCGATACGTCATCTAAATCGACCCTCTCGGCGTTTATACGAAAGCCTCAACCTCAACTTCACGAGTTTGTCGAGCCCTACCGGTGCCAGACTCTGGATGATTATCGTCCCAACAAGTCAATCGTACCTGCTGTAATTAAGGAGTCTTGTGCTTCTTACGATCAACTCGAACGCCTACTGGACTACGCTGAAAATGGAGTTGAAGTGAAGCTGTCGCGACCCATGCCCGACCAAACACGACGTCCGGCAAACCATGGCTCCGCGTTACAAAGTCTACCAATTCTGTTGGGCAACCTTCGAGCTGAACAAGACGCTGGTCGTGTGCTCCTGCTGGATGCTGATATTTTGGAAATCTGGCCGTACATTCAGATCAGCCCGTTTGGCATCGTCGCCAAATCTGGAAAGGACCCAAGTGTGCACGGTAGAACGATACATGACTTAGCATTTCCACCAGGCCTGTCCGTCAATGACCACACGGACCGAACCGCACTTCCCAAACCAGCCTACGAGTCATGTGCAGCAATTGCGCATGAAATTTTACGCCGTCGCCGTCTCGAGAGCCATCCTTCCAAAATTCTGACTGGGGATGTGGCATCCGCGTTCCGTCACGTTGGAATTCACTGCAAGTCCATATACCTTTTTGCCGGCATGATCCCTGAGCTGAACTTGCTTATTATCGACCTCTGTTGTCCGTTCGGTTGGACCGGTTCGCCAAGTTGCTACGAAACTTTCGGTGGAGCCATCATCACCCATCTACACCGGACTACCTCAATCACTACGGGCAACAGCAATTTTGGCTACCACTGGGTCGACGACCACGTATGCGTGGCCGTAGTCAACGAGATGAATTGCTTGGGGATTGAGCATGCGTTGCGACTGGCTATGATCGACATAATGGGCGCTGAATCTATCAACGAAGCCAAGTTCTCAGGGTGGCACCACCGATTAAAAGTGCTTGGCCTCATTTTCGATGCATCGGCCTCTACTGTCTCAATCCCCCCGGAGAAACTCAGAAAAGCACGGAATCTTGTCTGGACAACTTACCACAAGTCATCTGTATCGATATCAGAATTCCGTTCGTTGCTGGGCTCTCTTCGGCATATTTCAACTTGTCTACGCCCCGCTAGGCCTTTCCTGCAGCGGCTTCGCCAACCTGAAAGAAAGCTGCTGCGGTATACAAAAGTTCACGTGACCGACAGCATGCGGCAGGATCTTTTGTGGTGGTGGTCAATTCTCCAACAACCAGTACTAAACCACGTGCCAATGCAATATTTTCATGGAGAACCAGCACCCTATTTCACGGTAGAAGTCGATGCTGCTGAGTATGGCTGCTGTGCTCTAGACGTCACTCGCGAGCGATATTTCTGCTACCAGTACAATGAACATGAACTGGAGCAGATTGCGTTGTTTCACCGAGACTCGTCTACTTGTTTCGACATAAACTATCGGGAACTTTTGACGTGCGCGTTTGCGGCATCGGTTTGGGCCACACATTGGAGTGGAAAATCTGACGCAGAGCTGGTTCACGTTCACTTTCGTGTGGATAACATGTCAGCAGTGTCGTGGCAACAAAAACTATCATCGCCAAATCCGCTTGCTCAAGATCTGATTCGTCTTTTAAGTTGGTGGGAAGTTGAACACCGAATCCGATTTTCGGCCTATCACATACCTGGTATCGCAAATATTCACGCCGACGCTGGTTCCCGTGCTTCCGTATCGAAGGTCAAGTCGGACTTATTCACTAATCTTGTTGCTGGTTGGATACAGGACAATCCCCCCAAATCCGCATCCACGATGACAGCACACTGGCGATGTATCTGCGCGAGCACTCCGTTGCTGATCCCACCCACGACAAGTACAAACGGGCCTTCGGTCGATGGGAACAATGGTGCAAGCAATTTGGCTTTCCAATCTGGCTAACGAGGGTTAATACCGATCAGCAAGCGGTCATTGTCTCGGATTTTATTCTTTCGTGCACACGTTCCGGGCGCAATGGACGGCAGCCGAAGAGCGGTACCATTGCAAATACACTTCATGGAATCAATCACTTTTTCAAGGCACGTGCGCTTGCGGTTCCTGTCGGCCATCCACAAGTATGCATGCTCCTCAAGGGTCTTCGTCGATTGGACACTCCGGAGCAGCGCAAAGCACCGGTCACTCTATCTCTGCTCCCGATCTCAATTCCCCAGCGTATCAAGCATTATGGGGGACACTGTGTCTAGCCTTCTTTTTTCTACTTCGGAAATCCGAGATAGTCGCAGATGGCACGTACTTCAAGTGGTTTATTTTACGTCATGGCGATATACACCTATTTGGTCATGATGGGCGGCCGACTGGCGAACCGGCTTCGGCAGCCTCAGTATCGATTAAACTCACGGGTTGAAGACGACCCAGACTGGACCGCCGATAACGCGTTCATTACTGTCATCCGGAGACCTCCAGATTTGCCCGGTTTTAGGAGCACTCTGTATACGAAAAGCACGCGGAAATTTGCCCGATCACTTCCCCGCTACAATGTACCAGAACCGCAAGGGCGTACCCGGTGTCATCTCGGCTGAACGTATCATCACAAGTTTGCGCAAGGTGGCTCATCAAGTGGGCATCGACCCACGTTCTATCGGCACTCATTCTCTACGAGCCGGAGGTGCCACACACATGCATCGCGCCGGCATAGAAACAACCACCATTCAGCTACACGGTCGATGGGCATCTGATGCTTTCAAGCGATATACTCGCCTTTGTGAAGACTCCGTCGCTGTGATTGCCAAGCGTATGGTCACCGGATCAGCTCACAATGCATCACTCGGTTAGCCTCGAATGCTATGCCTGCTCTTTGGGGTTGCCCACAATTCTTGAGGGCCAGGCTGACATTCTAAGCTATCGAGTAAATACATTGCATTGTTCCCCATACGCTCGAAGCAGAACGGAAATGTAAAGTTATCTGAATTCTTGTAAATGCTTTTTCAGACAATCCGATTTGGAAGGGTCTTTTTCGGAATCGAACATGTCTCTTTGCGGGCACCGTAGGTGTCTACGAACTCGGCGGAGAACGCCTCTCAGGCGACTCTTGTTTTGGTGGAGGTGTCGGTGCTGGATCGCGCTCAATGCCGTAGTGGGAAAGCTGATACATGTATTACTCCATCACTTCAATTTCCTCGTCGATGTATCGAGGACGAGCAATTAGCCGATCTCGAGCGCGCTCTCGGCCTTTCAGGCAACGCGCGAGAACGTTCATGTGCGCGTCGCTGTCGTCGTTGTTGTTGAGGAAGCGGCGTCGAGGCTTGCGTGGCATGGCGAATTGGTTTATGGCATGCCCCACCAACCTCGCACGGTAAGTTTCAGCACAAGTAACACTTAGGTGAAAATATCTGATAGCGACTTCTGTACTTCAATTGTGATCAACCTGCTCCGAATCTGCTCCGAACTTTAAAGGTCAGACATGTTATAAATTACGCTAAGTTACAGTGACAGAAACTGGCGTCGATGCAGCCCTCCTAATTGTTTCGGTACAGCACCGAACCGTTAACCCTACAAGACCTGAACCGAAAATATATGCAATGCATGGAAACACCATTTCAAATGTCTGACTGACATAATCCATCAGAAAAGCAATGCAGCTGTCGGCAAAGCAATGTATCCCCGCTAATTTGGAAATTAGCCGGTGGGAGGATGAAAAAAAGGTTTTCTGATTGACGGTTTGATGAACCGAACAGGATCAGCCACACTATCCTTGACATCGGTGAAGACTAGTCCACCAGGCGCAAATCGCATAGCGGCAGAGAGTGTAGTAAAGTCTAGATGTCACCGCAGTTAGCAACGATTGGCAGCGGGATGTCATGGTCGCGCCAGAAACGAGTCCAGCTGACCCTTCTGTCGTCGACGGACTGGCAAGCCGCCACTCAGATGGCGACCGAGTGCGACAAGCCGATCCCCCCACATACACACACAACTCGATACTCGTAGGGACCCAAGACAACAGGCCGACGGATAAGGACCGGACGGCGCACCGGCGCTCAGTAGCAGTTGCAGTAGCAGCTTGACAATAGGCGAATTCAAGACGAAGCTAGAGCTGACAGGCTGTCAACCCGACATTCGCACCCACAATAAGCGGCTTAACTCCAGGCTTCGTAACCCGATGAGCAGATCCTACGCGCAAGGCTGGAACAGAAGGAGAAGACGGGCGTGTAAAACCATCAGAGTGACGCAAGTTTTCAAGTGGTGAGGTGGAGAACCCAACCTCAACTCGACAGCGTGCACCAAGGACAAGAACTGCGCACAAGACATAAAGACGACATCATGCATATACACTACCCACGTGTAGTTTATACTATAAATCCGTAGCACTCGCCCCTTTAAAGTTGGATAGACGCTCATAGTATGAAGGATGGACCTTAACGGAGCGGGTGTTACGGATTATAGTAATAGACCCGAATAAGAGCTAGAACAGGCAAACTTTAGGGGGATTGCGCGCTTTATCGATCACTCGTGTCGTCCAAACATACAGTTCCGGGGGGGGGCATTCCGTACGATCTATGTTTAAGTGCTTGTAGTCGATACGGAGTATATAACCGCTAACGATGTGCGGACGGTAGAGTATGGATGAGATCTGTGGCTTACGTGCATCTGTGGAGAGTGAAATTGCCACAGCAAGAACCAAGCCATAAAGTTGGAAGTTGGTCGGTCAAATCAACGGGAACATTAACTGTATCGTCTAAAAAAAATCTTAGCGGATCATAGGCGCCGTCATCATTGATACAGCGCACCAAAAAACTGGACCGGCCACAAGTCTAGTAATCATGCTAACCTAATTCCGGTTTTGGTGCATAGATGTTACTGAGGAAATCAACGGTGGTATCTTTTTGGTGCCTCGGACGCCTGAGGAAACCTCGACTGCAGCTGCCGAGTGTAGCATTGGAGTCACGTCATGATTTATATTGGCTGCTCCAATTCTACATTATTGAGCCTGAATGCAAACATCTTGCTCCCAAATTGAACCCGGCACGCGCTCGCGGACCTCCGCAGTAAGGTATGCAAAACCAACCCATCAACATGACATGGTGGTTTGAAGCCTCGGTGGGTAACTCAGCTGAATGGGTTGAGTGGGCGAGCCATCAGGTAACGCCGGTCACGATAGGCTGGATTTGATACCATAACACACTCTGATTGACCAGGTGAAGAATTTTTAATCGGCTAAACATGTTGTGGCTCTCTACACATTCTCGATCGAACGCGTGAAATGCAAAACGTCCGCGGTTCAGCTGAACATACCGCCGCTTGACATGGGTCACACACTTACCCGCTTGAAGTATGCGTGCTACAAGTACCTCTTTCTGTGGGAAACATTCCACGGGCCTGACGAGAAGCCAAAGTCGTGTCCCTCGCGCAGGTGCCTTGAGTGCATTGTCGGACCCATGTCTGCGTGCTACCGGAGGCCGCCGACAATGTCAACGCCTGAGCAAGAAGCAACATAACTCATAAGTAACACCAAAATGCAGCGCTCCCAGCTAAAACCATTCTTTGTGTCTTCTAAAGCATTTTTAAAAAGAAAGTTAATATTGATGCACCAGTAGTCTAAGTAAAAAAAACATATCACAAGATACGTATGCTTTAACAACTAGCAGCCGAATGGACAGGTGATAGATTTGTCCCGGTAGTAGATATTTGAGCGCACCATGGCAGGTTCGCGCAGTACGACCCAGAACGGCCTGTTACATTAAGATTAAGGGTCTACCGCGTAGTCACTTAAATAATACAACCACTGTAGCTTTAAGATGGCGGACGGTTGTTGCGTGCTACACCTACACCTCGAGTCGACCAAGCGGTGTACCGCGTGCGCTAAAATAGTGCGATAGAACAGGCGCATACGACAACGCCATAGGAAAGCGTGATTAGAAATTATTCGAGAGCATATCCCTCGCTTAGCCACCTTCACTCATGTTTAGACAACGAAAAGGAGACAAGTAACGAGACATGCACAAGTCATACATTGCCTCTGATTGCCTCTGCTTGTCGTATTGTATGGTGCATGTCAATCCACTTCAGCTTTAATTGGTTGGCCCGATTCATTTAATATAGCACCGCCTTACTGCTGAGACAACCGGGGCTTAACCCACTAATGTCACTCACTTTGCAATTTGCGTCCATCGCGGCTCATCTTCCTCAAGGCCTCTATGGACCTCTAAAAGCCCCCAAGCCTCACATCTGGTAGCACTTGTTGGTCCATTTTCGCCGGGCAAGTGGTCATAAGATCTACATCGACCGACTCGACTTCCTACGTTCGGCTCTGCTGCTATAACCTCAGGGTTATGGTTACCTATTTCACTTTACTGCTATTCTAGATGCAATTAAACTAAGCGGCATAAAGGCTTTTCGCTAGCCATAATGTGTTGCATAATAGACATTAACGCTTTCGCTAGTCGATTACCCTCGTTAGCTTTGCGCCTGTCGCTTCACTAGTCACCTTCCCGCACGCAAGCCTAATATATTACGTAAAACTTTGTTTTGACTTGGCCTTGAATGACCAATGCGAACAGCAAAACCCTAAAAATCACGATTGAAACCCTCGCCTAGTATACAAGCAGTAGATAGACGCGACCGAGACACAGATTTCGCCAAGTTGCTCCAAGCGTCCATCACGCCGGCGGTGGGGCTGGACGAGCTGCTGAAGCATGTCGCCCCACCGTCCAATAAATCGGCTGTGGTCCGCATGGACCCAGAGTTGTTGTATGCTCATGAGCCAAGAGACTTCAAGGGAATAACCTTTTTTATGGGTCAATCGCTGCGCAGGTCAAATTTGGGTCAACGCTTTTTAACGCTTTTTTGGTCAAAAAAGGAACAACGGAGGTCTACACGGTTTTTTGGTCAACTTTGGGTCAAAAATTATTACCCCCAAGAGGTTACACGATTAATAATAAATGCAAGAGATTGGGCATTTTTTAAAAATATTATATATATGTTGAGGATGTTGTGTAAATTTAGTGTTGTGTAATTGCATGAGTGCTGTGTACTTGCTAAATATTTGTATTCGATTGTCGTCGTGTGCGGTTGAAGTTTGAAGTTGTTGTGTATTTGTTGGAAACTTTTGTGTGTGGTTGAAGCTCTGGCGTTGTTACATATTTGTTGGTCAATTGTGTTTTGATTGAAGTTTTCATATTGTATTTCTTAGTTAGTGGCGTGCGTGTTAGGCTGTTGGCATGTGTATGGTACACTATTGTTAGGCTGCTAGTTTGTAAGACCGCAGTGTCGAGCATCGCTATCTCGTCAGTGACACAATTAACCGCAGAGTTTGTTGTCTCATCGCGGGTGCTATGTCGTCAATTGTAGTGGTTGCTCCAACCATATCGTAACATTCATTTTGAAATCTTTTAAGTTCTAAGCACTAATCCCCCCTTCCGGCCCCCACGACGCCCACGCGCCATGGCCTCAGGCTACATATCCGACGAATCGATGTCCAACTCGCTCCTGGCCGATGGATCCGAGCTCAGCGACACCGAGACGGTCCTACTGCTCAGCCAATCCTTGGGCTCGGAACACGAAGAGAGTGATGGTACCCAACTTGAAGTCGCGCCGCCAACTGATGGTGCCCACTCTACTGGCCTCGCCGTCGCCAATTCTGGATCAGGGACTATCCATTATGGTGGCTACTCGTACGCCCAATACCACTTCAACCCTCGAACCGACACCAGGCACTATCGATGCAGCGCCTACCGCCGAACAAATTGCAAGGCGAAATTCTACGTGAGTGGCCGTGGCGCTGTGGAGGATGGAGAGCACGAGCCCGCTTGTGTACCTGGTTTCCGTCGAACCTCGACTGGACCGGCCCCTGCTGTTACCGACCGAAAAGAGGGGATGCTGCTGATGACGGACACAATTTGGATCGTATGAAGTAGCGGCAAAGTTCGGTCTTCATCGACGCAACTTATCGTTGTGTGCCTGCTCCATTCTACCAATTGGAGATTGTGATGCTCTACGATTTGATTTCGGAGCTCTTTTTGCCAATTTGGTACGTCCTTACGGACGGGAAAACGGCTCAGGTGTACGATCGCCCATTTCACAACATTTACGTCGGGGCAAGGCAGAAAATCTTTCCAGCGCATGTTGTGCGTGACTTCGAGTTCGCCATGATCACGTCTGTCCAGAACCAGTTTCCAGAATCCCGAATTGTTGGCTGCCTTTTTCACTCCAAGCAAGCGCTCCATCGGAAGATGTTGAAGTTGAAGATCACGGAAGATGAAGTGGATTTGACAATGCGGGAGGGCTGCAACGGTTATCCGACCTATGGATATACCCTCCGAGGCGCCCACGAGGTCCGATCCATGATCAAGCGCGACTGCCAAGCGAGGGTTATTGGTTACTCCTGGTCCAACTGGAAGAAGTTCTAGAAGTACTTCAAGAAAATCTGGATCTACAAGTTCAAGCCGGAGTGGTGGAACATTAACAGTGTGAGCGAAGACATCGTAAATCGGACCAACAACCCGCTTGAACGCTAGCCTACGCTACTTCCTAAGATGGGCCGAGTTATGCGTTGTGGGAGGTCCTGGCCTTCTTCGATGACTTTGAAGAGGTCGATGACACGTGAGAGGTCGATGACTAGCGAGTGCATTATCTCTGTCAACTACATTGACGTTTGTATGACGCACGTCAATTCACTTCAACTTGAAGGGGATTGACCAATCAGATTGATTTACTCTAGCACCGCCTTGGGCACTGCCCAGACGGCCAGCCACAGGGCCTTTTCGAAATAAACTCACTTTCAAATTCGCATCCAACCACCTCAACGGTTTCGGCGTCGCGGTCAACACTTCCTCGCGGCCTCTGCGTCTCCTACTGCTCAAGCCTCACAGATACCATACAGCATTGCTGGTATCACTCGGGCCTTATTAACAAGGCCGCCATGAATTTCTTGACGAGCTAAATCATATCAATACACTGCTTTTTCCTAACCAATCCGATTCACCTTATACTCTTGGAGACCTTATGTATATATATATATCAGGCGTCCGGTATTCACGCACATTTCTGTACATGAAAATCGCCAAGATCGTCAAAACAAGCTCTTTTTTGCTGCTGTGCGCCGCTTGGTCAACTATTTTCACAATTGTGCCCCACTGAATAGGGCTGGTTTAACCATACAAATCTCTGTACTAAATTTGCATCCTTACCGATGTGGCAAATCATGGTGCAGAAACTGATCTGAAATGTGAGATGACCACCTCGTCTTTATCGTCCGCAACTATAATCAATTGTCATGCCCAGCACCTCTGGCCTGCTGAGCAAGCACGTCAGAGCGATGCGGAGCAAAGGCTCGGGCTTGTTTGCTCGTGACCAGAGGCTCAACACGCATGGGATTGCTATCCGAGAGGGTCAGCAGTCACAGCGAACATGCATTAAGTCAAAAAGAAAAGAAATCAGAAACAGTGAACATGCATTTAGTAGGAAATACATGAAAGCAACATAAAGAGACGAGGACAAACACATAGGTAAAAGACACAACAGAAATAAGCAAATATCGCGCTGTGCTCATCTAGGAGCACAGCGAGGCATGCATGTTAGGCTAAGGATTCATTAGCAAATACACCTCGTGTCCCGCACTTCGATCTCAACACTTCCTGGCCCATCGACCAGGACTCTTCACCTTAACCACCTACACTCCGGAGCCAAACACGACATCTAGTAGCACTTGCGGGGGGAAGGCTCGCCGCTGCACGGCACTTCAAGGGGAGGCATTTCCAGCTTGCGGTGTAAGTGTCACGTCAGCGTGACCAACCCAGCTGTTGGGGAGACATCTGTACTGTAGTAGGGCAACCTATTACTGTACGCTGAACGTGGGAAAGAACTGGTGGGCAGCCGTGGTGCAAGTTTGTCTTTCAACTGGCCCCGGTAACAGCCCATTAGCCCAAGTAGCTACTGTTCTAAGAAGACTGCACCGAACTAAGTCGAGCACTATAAGTCTCGAAGCCGGTTAGTCAGTTTTTGATCTTGGTAGCCCGGCACAGCACTAACTTCGACTTGCTGTTTCTGGCCCGGTAGGGCTAGGTGATGACGAGAGCACACTCCAAGGTCCACAAGGACAAGAAAACGAAGCTGATTGGCTCGTTCCTGAGGCTTGCGGTTAACAACCCACGCAAGGCGGACAAGGCTCGGCAGGACCTCTACAACTCGATGGCGAAATCCGATCGTATTCTAGAGGCTCTGTTAAAGAAGGTCAAAACGAACAAGACCGAGCGTCCGGTGGAGAAGAAGGCCATCATCAAGCTCATTAAGGCTTCGCAACCGGACCTCCACAACGCTTTGTACCGCGTGTCAGTGTCCATTCACCAGCGTCTCCGCGAGATCGAGATCCCAGTTCCTGATTGGGCCGAAGAGGAGACCAAGGACAAGAAGCGTCACCGCTCGACCTCCATGTGCATGTATCTTCCTTGTCATGAGTGAAGATGCCTAAGCTAGACTAATGCTTACGCCCTAGTCTTGCACTTGAACGGGGCGGGCCGACGACGTGCTCGTCACGTCTCGATCCTTACATCCTCCCGGGTTTGACTTCACGTTGACGGCGCTTGAAGTCGTCGACGAGAACTTTCCAGTGCGAGACGTGTTTGATGTCTTTCTCGAGTTCCCACGAATATTCGTGGTCTAGAAGACCATGCCACTTGACAAGCCACTCAGTCTTGCGGTTGAACTGGCGCTTGCGTAGCAGTTGCTCGATAATGTGGAGGTCTTCTCCAGTGTCTTCATCTGTGATGATGCGAGATGCTTTCGGAAGAACACGAGTCTCAAACTTGTCCGGGTTGGAGACGTAATGGCTGAGAACATCTACGTTGAAAGTAGGGTTCAACGACTTCATACTGCGTGGCAAAGTCAGACGGGCAGCGTTGTCGCTGATCATGCGCTTGATCACGAACGGACCAACTTTACGAGCCACTAACTTTGCACGTTTGACGTCAATGTCTTTCGCAGCATGCCTGAGTGGAATACGGCGTGTATCAAGCATAACCAAATCTCCTTCCTTGAATCGGACGTTGCTACGACGTTGATCGTAGTACTTCTTTTGCGATGCTTGAGCCTTGAGTAGGTGTTCTTTGGCTTTGCCGATAATCTTGTCGCGTTCATCCTTGAAGCGGTTTGCATACTCAGACAGTCCTTGTTGTACTTGAACTGTGGTATACAGCGTAGGAAATGTTCCGAAGGGATTGCGTTCCTTACGTCCTGTGTCTACTTCAAATGGCGAAAGTCCGGTAGAAGCACTGACTAGCGTAGCGTGAGCATACTCAATCGTTCCCAACTTGGCAGCCCAGTCATCACCATGATACGAGACCATGCAACGGAGTGCATCTTCTAGTACCAGGTTTTGACGTTCGGTTTGGCCGTCAGCTTGAGCGCAGTATGACGTTGTCATATTCAACTGTACACCCATGATCTGCGTGAGAGAGTCCCAAAAACGTGACGTGAATTTGGGATCACGATCACTGATGATCACTGCAGGCACTCCATGATGCCGAACGACATTGTCGAAGAAGTAATGAGCGATTTCTTCGGCATCATCAGTAGTGTGAACTGGACAGTAGATTGGACGCTTGGACAACTTGTCCACGACGGTCATGATAGCATCATAGCCGTCGGATTCTGGCAATCCAGTGACGAAATCCATGGAGACGACTTCCCAACATTCCTTAGGAATTGGAATCGGAATTAGCTTGCCATTCTTCTTGGCGTTGCTGTGCTTCCAACGTGTGCAGGTTTCACAACTTTGCACGTAATCGGAAACGTCTTCATGAAGCGACACCCAGTAGTACCATTGCTTGATACGGAGGTACGTACGACGAATTCCTGGGTGCGCGGCAATACTGAAATCATGAAATTGCTCGATAATCTTCGTTCTTAGACGATTGCGCGGCGATCTCGGGACACAAAGTCTCATCACTTTGGTCTCCTGGTCGTCCGTGAATTGCACATAAAGCAATCCATCCTTGAGTACGTATGGATCATGTGGAGAACGATATTTGTCTCGAAATCCGGGATCAGTGCGGTAGGCTTTGATGAACTCTTGTTTGAGATTCGAAGTCCATCCTAGCGAACTTGCGTGTTGCATTTGCACAACCGATGCGGCGATCTCTGCATCTTGAACAGGGATGTGGAGATAACCATCGGAAAGATCATGTATGGCGAGGTGACCAGCGGAAGCATCAGCCATCGCCTCCCCCGAAAATTCAACAGGCGAGAGAGCTGAAGACACCTTGGTCGTATTCACCTTCTGATGCTGTCTTGCACGATAGCGTGATACAAAACTGTCACACTGCGGAGTACACGTGTGAAAGTTGATCGTATTGATAGCGGAACGCACAACACTCTGTGAATCTGGAACAGTCGAGCTTTCACTGTCTGGAGTCGACAACGAAGCGTTAACTGCGTGTAGATCGCACACTACTCGAAAACTCGATGTCGTTTTGTCATCGTCTGGCTCGCAATCATGGACGCTAATCGTGTTGACTAGAGATGGAGCAAATACTGGTGATGGAAACGCATTCGGAGTTGAGTCCATTGGAGGACGGGACAGTGCATCAGCTAGGACATTCATCGACCCTTTCAGGTGATGCAGTGTGAAGTCGAACTGAGCAAAGAAGGTCAAGAAGCGTGCAAGCTTCGAAGAAACCTTAGGGTGGTGTAACAACCACTGACATGCACTGTTGTCGGTGTAGATGTCGAAATGACGACCATAGAGATAATGACGCCATTTTTCCAACGACGGCTTAATTGCGTAGAGTTCCTTCTCGTGGGTAGGCCAATTTTGTTCATGCACACCCAACTTCTTGGAGAGGAAAGCTAACGGATGATCATGTTCGTTGTGCTTTTGCGAAAGCACTCCACCCACGCAATATCCTGAAGCATCGGTTGTCACGATGAACAGAAGAGAGAAATCCGGTAAAGCCAGGACTGGGGCGGATTGTAGTGCTGTTTTCAGCTTGCTGAAGGCGATATCATGCTCTTCATTCCAGTTCCAGGTGTTGTCCTTCTTGACCAGAGATCCAAACGGTAAGGCGATTGTCGCGTAGTTGAAAATGAAGCGACGGTAGTAGCCTGCGAGACCCAAAAAGCTTTGTAATTGCTTTTGGTTCATGGGAACTGGCCAATTGGCAATCACTTCAGTGTTCTTAGGATCCACCGCAATACCTTGGCTCGACACGGTGTGACCTAGGAACTGAACTTGATTTTGCCCAAAATGACACTTCGAACGATGACAGTACAGCTTTTCCCTGCGTAACACTTCGAAATCTATGCGGAGATGCTGCAGATGCTCCTTCATGTTCTTGGAAAATACACAAATGTCGTCCAAGTATACCACGATCAACGCGTATTTGCCCAATAGGACACGCATCAGACGTGACCAGACACCTGGCATTCCAGCAAGACCCATTGGTGCAACACACCACTGGTAGGTCTCAAAATGAGTGCGGAACGCTGTGTACTGACGCCTCTTCAAGGCAACCCTCATCTGATGGTAACCTTGCGCGAGATCCATGACTGAGAAGATGACGCATCCATACATCTTGTCAAATGTCTCGTCAATTCTCGGGAGTGGAATTCTGGCGATGATCGTCTGCGAGTTGAGCCAACGATAATCAATCACCCTACGAATCGGTAACGTGGCGTTTCCCGATCGTAGCCACTCAGCTCGAGAGAGTTGTCTCCCTAATTTAGGGTCCTTCTTCGGGATACCAAAGATGTTGGAGACCCAGGGTGAATCGGATAGTTCAATCCAACCTTTCTTCAACTTTTCCTCGACAAACAGATCAAGGGCTTCTTGTTCTGTCTTCGAGAGCCGGAAAGGTGCGCGTGTGCTTGGCATAGCATCTGACTTCATGTTGAGCTCGAATTCCACGCGTCGATGAGGAGGCAATCCATCGGGTAAAGCGTCTGGAAAGACGTCAACAAACTCATCCAGGAGAGGCACAATTTCTTGCGGTTCCTCCGTGACGAGTTGAGCTGGAGTAACTTTGACGCGGTAAATCTCCTCATAGTCATGACGCTTGGCTTTGGCTTTGAGCTCAGCACCAGATACTTCAACTTTGCGCAACACTGGTTTCAATCCTTGCGGTTTGAACTGTAGATGATGAGTACGCCAATCGATAATCGGCTGGTACTTGGTAAACCAGGGTTTTCCGAGAATGACATCGTGCTCAGAACTCATTGTCCACTCCAGGACCTCTAAGTCTCTGAATCGATAGCCATCCATCTCAATCGTGACCTTGCCCTTGTGAACAGCACGTTTCTTCGTTGTGCTTCCGTCAAACAAGGTGACTTGAGAGATCAATGTGTCAGGAATAGTGTCCACCAATCCAGGACGAATAACATTGCATGTGGCTCCCGTGTCTAGCATAATGGTGACACGTTTGCCCTCACACAGACCTGGCTTCCGAATCAACTCATTCGGAGCTGGTAGTGACTGGATTGTGGCAGCGTTGAGATCATTTATCTCAACAACTTCAACCGAATCTGGCTTCTCTGTGGCCAAAGTGTGAACAGCGAACTGACATCGCTTGGTGTCAGACTGATAGTTGTTGTTCGATATATGCTTCTGTCGATTTTGAAGTTTGAAGCACTGTTCAATCGTATGGCCAAGCTTCTTACAATACCGAAACTTCTTCTGGTTGCCACTGTTGCGATTGTTGCTTTGAACAGGGCGACGATAATTGTCACGGCGTGGACTATGCACATGACCGGTGTCGATTTCCATAGGCTCAGGTTCATTGTCAGCAGGACGCTGTGGAGCCGTGTTGGCACGAGTGAATGATGAGGAGTTGGCACGTCCAAAAGTCCTTGGAGGTGTCCAACGATTCTTGTGAAACGGACCAGCACGAAAGTGTGATCTGTCATACTCGAGTGCAACTGAGAGAGCCTCAGATACCGTCGTGCGACGACGATACTGAACTTCTTCTTTCGTGGGGCTAACAAGACCTCGAATGAAGTACGTGGTCTTGTCAAGCTCACTCATGTCCTTGACTTGCATGATAGCAACGCGGAATCGAGAGATGTAGTCCTCTAAGCTAGAACAACATTTTTGCTTGAGACTGTACAATCGATCTCGAAGGCGCTCCTGAAGGTCCGGAGGAACGAATTCCTTCGTGAGCTTCTGGATCAAGTCTTGGGCGTCACTGATGGAATCCCTGCAAAGCATGCACCATGCAGCAGCATTTCCCCTGAAATTGGCGGTCATCATGGCAATAATGCGCTTACTCTGATTCTCATCTTGCCAATCAATGTTCTTCGCCTCAAAGTAGTGAACAACTTGGTCGAAATACAACTCAACCGAGTCGCCCATGTTTCCATAGAAGCGAGGTAGGCTTATGCCCTTAACTTTGACTTCCTTGCGTTGCGAAGTCAAAACGTCGATTAGTGCTTGTTGCTTCTGCACCATTTCGACCACAGACTGGGTTTGA